CCTATTTGAGGCTTATTGTGTAAAGTCTGATCCACCACAATATAATTGAAGTAGAAAAGCATCTCATTATAGAACCGCAAGCTCGTACGGAAGCGCATCCTCCTTTACGCAGAAGGGTGAGAGAGCAAGGGTCCCATCAAACCGCTCGGGGCCCCGGCTGCGTGTCCACACCCCCGGAGGCCCAGGCAGGCCTCTGGACAGGGTGTCCCCGCGCACATGATCTGCGTGCCGACAAGTGACTAAGGGCACAGAGATGGGAGCAGGGAGCACGCTCGTTCTGGGGCTCCTGTCTTCACTCATCTCCCAAGCCCCCCAGTTAGGCAATGCTCATGGGCGGGAAGTGCTTTGGCTTTAAGGAGTTGGTTAAAAATCAAAAGGCTCATTTGAAACGTGTGCCCCTGCCCCTCACCGACCCCAGCAATCTCATCCACCCCTCTGCCGGAGTCAGGAGGGGGATGCCAACTGGCAGGCCCGGGGCTGCGTGTTTAACTCATGGGGGAGCCAAGCAAGGAAAACATTTTTGTAAGGCTCTTTGAAAGTTATTTGTGAGAGAAACAATTAAAAAAATGTGTGGTCGCTTTCTTGCCATTGAAGAAATGCTACATGCAGTTTCCAGCTCCAGCCAGCCAGTTCTCTCCTGCAGGATTTATGGGGCCGGTGCTGCCAGGCAGACAGAAATCCACCCAGGAACATGTTTTATGGTAAGAGAACTTTCCTAAGAATGATGCCCGAAATATGCAGACAGTTGTACAGTGCGCTGGTCCTGGAGTCCCGCTTTCTCCTTGGAGTCCAGATGATAAATACGCCTGTGTGCATCCCACCAGGGGCTGCCTGGTGACTGCTGTCGGGCCGGCCCTGGCTGGGCCCTCAATCTTCCAGACTTAGCTGGGAATCCACTAGCTCTCCACTAGAATCCACACGTGTCTCCACTAGCACACGTGTCACACCTCTCAGCGAATCCTTAGGTTTCCAGGCCGAACTCCCCCCACCCCCAACTCCTCGCTTGGTGAATCTGAAGTTTACAAACAGTCCCGTCTCTACCTCCTGACAGGCCACAGCACATGTTCAGTCCTAAAGCGCTGTGTGAGGGCTTCATTCTGCCTGTTCTTACAAACGCAGAGTGGGGGTCCGAGCAGACACCAGTGTTTCGACGCGTGGCTGTCTCTGCCTTTTCCTCTTGGCCTTCTTCTGTTTCAGGAGCCAGCCTGGGGCTCGCAGGGCACACAAATCGGGGTCACGGGCAGGCCCTCTGCGGCTCGCCGTGGGGGCCAGGAGGCGGGCGCCAGGCTGTGTCTCTTCTCTGCGTGGGTTCATGCGGGGCCCCCACTGGCTTCAGGACCGGCGTTCCTGCACCGCGTGTGCCCTCCTCCTCCACCCGCGGCATCCAGGACAACGAGCCCATCACAGTCTCGGAGACCAGACACAGCCTCAGAGTCTTTCTCAACACAGACCCCCAGACAACAACCCCCAGCCCAGAAAATGAGCCCGGCATTGAAAACGACCCGCCACCCATGGTCTGTGCATTTAGATTCTTTCCCAAAATTATTTTTGGTCGTATGAGGGGCACACAGACTCTCAGTTCCCCAGCCAGGGACTGACCACAGGCCCCCTGCATTGGGAGTGCAGAGTCTTAGCTGCCGGACCACCGGACAAGTCCTTACATTTAAACTCTTCAACAAGGCAAACTCCAACTGGCATTTGAGGGGAAGAACTGTGTGTGAGCCATTATTTTAAAAACACAGTAATTGCATCCCCAGCGTGTCTGTGTGTTCCCACCATACTTACTGGTGCCATTAGCGTCACTGATACCATCTTGCGACAGTATCTGCCTTCTCTGCCAGGCAAGTCCCTTGAATCCGGGATACCAGGCTCCCGGATATAGAATATATAGAATATAGAATATTACTGATGCTGAACAGATGCTCCTTGACTTGACCTGACAGCCTTTAGGTGGCCCATCCAAGCACAGCCCGGTGTGTTTGGATGGGAAGCGTGTAAACGCCCCTGGGGAGCCGGGAAGCACTTGTGTCAGGCTAGCTGCAGGGAGGGGGCAGGGCTTGCAAGCACTTCCACCGCAGTTACAACTGAGAGCCGGTGTCTCAAAGTGCAATTGCTAACTCAAGGTTTAGCCAAACCCGGGGAATGCTCTGGTCAGCAAAACTGGACCCAAAACCATCTCCTGAGAACAAGCCGTCTCACAAGATTTCCGTTACCTGCTGCTTTCCGTCGACTGAAAATACCCCGGGCCGCCTTTCCAGCGGTGGTTTTGGCACCTCTTCTCCCAGATGGAGCCACAAGGGCAGGAGTGCACGGAACTCAAATGTCCTGGGAGGAGAGTTGATTAAATGTTTTCAAACCTCAAAAAAGGGGGAAAAAATGAGAAAATCAGTTCAGGTAGAGTTCAAGTTTGTGGGTCAAGCTCCAGGGACCCCTGGGGCTCTTTTGTAGGGAGGCATTAACTTACTCCTTGAAATCACACCCTGGAGAGCTCGGGGGCAGCGGTCAGCTCACAGCCCTGCCCTCAGTTGTTCTGTGTGGTCTGCGTGTCACAGCGCGACCCAGAATCACGCCGCCCTCCGTCGCCGGGGGAGAATGCGGGGCGAGGCGCAGAGCGGGCCGCCTCCACCCGGAGGCCGAGGCCGACCCTCTCCTCCGCTCCACTCTGCTTTTCCTCCTGAAATCAGAGCTTCAGATTGCTGACCCGGGCACGTATCTGCTTTTCCTGTGGAGATAGGATCGTTTCAAGCTGCTTTTCCACATGAACACCTTGAGAGGCCCTTGGTGACACTACCACCGCCCAAGACGCTGACGGATGAAGCTGGAGAAAGCAATCCAGGGTGTTTGAAAACCAAGGCGTTCCAAGGCTTCCACCTCGTCTTGAGCCCTTTCCAGCTGTTGTCCAGCGTGGCTGGCTTCGGCGACGGATGATGTTTTTCTGAACAGGAAATCAGGCTTCATTTTCCCTTGAGTCCCAGAATAGCTCATGGAGCAGAGTCTGGGGACAAGTGAAGTTCCATCCCCTCCAGAGCCTTCCCCCACCCCTCTGTGGTATGTCTGCATTTTGCTCTCTGCAAAGGGACTGTGGATTTTGATGACTTCTTACAAAAAGAAGGCTACCAATTTTACCACTGAAGATGATAACGTGATGACAAATGAAGACCAGGGAGGACCCAGGAAGAAGCTGCCTGAGCCTCCAGAACAGGGCAGGCACGCTTTTTCTGTGAAGCATGAAATAGTAAATATTTTCAGCTTTGCAGTCCCTGTCGCAGCTACTCTGCCCTTCAGAAAGCAGCCCTGGATAACACGTAAAAGTGGTCTGTCCCTGTGTGCACAGGGGTGTGTGCCAATAAAACTTTATAGGTGAGAACAGGCTGTGGGCTGAATTCAGCGCACCAGCTAGTTTGTTGGTCCCTGTTTAGAGGATCCAACTTCTCTTTGTTCATCTTACTTGTGGTGTTTAATAAGAAGTCACCGTGATGACAGGCCACAGGACCCAAGGAGGCCCAGGCACCCCTGGGCAGAGGAACATCCCTCCTTCCAGGTGCATCCTCGGCAGGTGTGTCCGCTGGACTGCGTATCCCACACCTGACCAGGGCCTCCTCACCCAGCTCGACGACACGAGGGCTGTGTGCGAGCTTTGACCTCCCAAACAAGGGGCCATGGCCTAAACATCTCTGCAGCCTCAGGGGAGTTTTTAATTCTAATGGCTCAGATATGTCCTGCACCCTCTGCAGATACAAAGTTGCCTTCCCCCAGTATGGCTCAGTTGGCTAGAGAACCCCACTGATGTGTGTGCTCAATCGTGTCCAATTCTTTGCAACCCCACAGACTGCAGTCCGCCAGGCTCATCTGTCCATGGGCTCTCCCAGACTAGAATACTGCAGTGGGTTTCCTACTGTAGGGGATCCTCCTCACCCAGGGATCAAACCCAAGATTCCCACATTGCAGGGGGATTCTTTACCACTGAGCCACCTGGGAAGCCCCGGAGAACCCCATTTCATGTCCAGGACTGCCCAGTCCTGCCCCGCCAGGACCCAGACCCACCGTCCCAACCGGGAGGTCAACAAGAGGTCACCTCCCCGTTCTCCCTGGTTCAGGCACGCACAGACGTCCTCTGGTTGTGTTGGTCCCTCTTGTTAGACTAACACCGGCTTCTTGGGCCAAACAGGTGAAACCGATTTATGCCAGGCTCCCAGGGCCGGGCTGCCGGGCAGAACGGGCTTTATGTGAGAAGGCGGGGATCCTTCTGGTTTGAGATTTGTGAGAAATTCAATTTGAGTGTGCACCCTTTTCACCTCTGAGGCGAGCCTGAGGCCACCTGAATCAAAACCAGATGGACTCTCAGGCCTAAAGACAACAAAGAGCGGAGGGAGAGCCCGTCAGCCGAGGACCGCCAGAGTGCGGGCTGCGAGCACAGCCGGCTGGCTTCCAGCGCTCAGCGGCGACGCTCCCAGGGCTGAGAGGGGCCCTTCGTCCGCCTGCCATGCCCAAGGCATCGCGCCGTCCTGAGCGGGTTACTGGAGCGGGCTGCAGGCAGCCCCGGAGCCCCCGCCCTCCGCCCCTCCTCCGCCGCGCGCCCCCCTCGCAGGGCTGGTTGGTTCGCGCTCGGCCGGCAGGTGCCCTCCGAGCGCTGCGATCCGAGCCCCGGCAGGGATGCCGGGGGTGACCCGAAGTCTTGGGTGGCCGCCTTCACGCTCTCGCTTTCCCGTCAGCTGATACATCTGCCACCCACGTGCTGGAAGGTTCCGGCAAGCTCCGAGATTCCTGCCGGAGGGAGGCTGACCTCCTGCGCCCCCAGCCCTCCGGAGGAGCCGGGGCACCCTGGAAACCTAGGGCTCTGCCTCTCCATAAACAGTGTGGGGAGGACCGGGCGTTTACACATGTGGCCTGTGAAACATGAGCCTCCAACTGATAACTGCAGTCGGCCGTAAACAGATGCTGGCTCACAGTCCCAGAGCTTCTTCTAAATGGCCTCTGGAGAAAGGAGAGGACTCAGCGGGTTATGATTCAGCGATCACACAGGCGTCGGCAGAGCGGCCCTCTTCCCCGTCCCCTCCTTCCGAGCTCCGGGGCGTTGTGCCGGGGCCCAGCGGACCCCTGACCCGCCCGGCGGCAGTCGGGCAGGGTCTCCTCCGTCACCAGGGTCCCTGAGCTGGGCCGGCCTTGGGGTCCGCTCCCTCCATTCAGATTATGGAAGGGGGTCTCCCCTCCCCCCGCGCAACGGACGCGCTGCCCGAAGCCGACCCCCACCCCAGCTCTGACGAACCCGGCGGGCCGCGGGCGAGTCCAAGCACGCTCTGCGGGTGCAGGTGCGGGCCCCTCCGCAGCGCCTTCCAAACACCCTGCACCTTCTCACGGCCCCCCACCCCGTCCTCCAGCGCACGGGCCAGCGGTGGGCGGGGCCTGTGTGGGTGGCGTCGAGGGTGGAGCCAGCGCACTTCGAGGTCCCTTTCGCCCAAGAGCCGCTGGATTTAGGATCAGGGCCCAGGGCATGTGGCGTTGCGCAGGAAGGGATGGGCTGGTCGTGGAGGGAGCCTGCGGCGCTCTTCCCAACACTCGGGCAAACCGAAGAACACGGGCCCAGGAGCGGAGCACACAGATCGGCAGGCCTCCTGTGCCTGGACTCACCCACAGTGGCCCCGCTGTGTCCGCCTGGAGGCCTTCTGGGCGGCTGTCCCAGCGCGGGTGGTGGGTCTTCATGGGCCGTTTGTGGCGGGAAGGGACCAGGTGAAGAGGAGGCTGGATTCCCTGAGTCTCAGAGCCGATTTAGACCATCTGACTGGGGGAAAAGGGCAGTCTTACTGAGTGTGTGTGTGTAAATATCCTCCAAACCATATGTACACACATGCATACCCACATATGTGTGAACACATGTGGTTTGGGGGCCATTTAGTTCTTTTTCTTGTGTGTATATGCACAGAATGGCCTTTTCCGATGCCTCAGCAGATACAGAATCTGCCCGCAGTGCAGGAGACACAGCAGATGCGGGTTCGATCCTTGGGTCGGGAAGATCCCCAGGAGAAGGGAGTGGCAGCCCACTCCAGTATTTTTGCCTGGGAAATCCCATGGACAGAGAGCCTGGTGGGCTGTGGTCCAAAGGATTGCAAAGAGCTGGACATGACCGAGCAACTGAGTGCATACACATTATAGTGTAGATGCATATTACAGTGTGTATATGTGTGCACATACACGTTCTGTTTGAGGGACACGGCGCTCTCTTGACTGACTACAGTGCGCATGTTCCCCAGTTTGTAAGAAGGAGGCAGTAGCAGAACTGGGCAACCACCCGGCCTGAGCCACAGAAGGCACCAGCGATCCTACAGCACACAACAAGGGCAAAGTGATCCCTCGGAGCGTCTGTATTTTCCTTTTGAAAGAAAGAAAAGCCAGGGATGGAAGGAGAGAGACAGAGCCCCCTTCTGAAAATTTACACCAAGACGTACCTGGGAAGCGCCGAGCTTAGTGAAAACGCAGCTGCAGCCCTCGGGGCGAGTCGCCACACAGAAAGCCTCTGTGAGTCCTCCTCTCAGCCCACAGGCTACCGGGGAGTCAGACTCGCCAGGACCGAGCAGGGAAGCGGTCTGTCCCTCGAGGCTGAAGTGCTGGGGGCAGGGGAGGTGGGCCTGTCCCGGCTCGATGGCCAAGGAGCCAAATTTGTCCTGGCGTTATTCAGGGTTTCCCTAGTGGCTCAGCTGGTAAAGAATCTGCCTGTAATGCAGGAGACCCAGGTTCGATCCCTGGGTTGGGAAGATCCCATGGAGAAGGGAGCGGCTACCCACTCCATTATTCTTGCCTGGAGAATTTCATGGACAGAGGAGCTTGATGGCTTACAGTACATGGGGTCATTTGTTGAAATCTGCACTTGCTGAGATTGTAGCGGCCAGACTTGTTGGGTGGTGAAGTCAGGTAGACCTGGCTGTCTGCAGACCTCAGTTGGGCTTTCATCACCTCATCACGAAGCATTTACATCACATTTTATTTTCTCAGTGTATTTCACATTGTATTAATTTTCTCCGGGGTTTACTATTTTAAAAGATTTTGCTGGGGAAAATTGCAGAGGTGGTCTAGCATACTGTCCACATTCTGAATAACAGCCCATAAAATACGTTTGCTTCTTTGTTGCAGATGATGAAACTGGGGTCCAGGAGAATAGTTGTTTTCTGAGGTGGACTTTGGAAACTCTGGTCCCTGGTTGCACTCTAAGGCTTTGTTTTCATCCACATGACCTCTCCTCCTAGATTTCCCAGGCCCGGCAGCCCCGGGTCTTTTTTCTTTTGTGACTGGCTTATTTCACGTTGTTACCAACACGGAGCATGCTGCACTTTCTGAACTGCTTTGACCTTTGAAACGTCACTGAGGAGAAGGGAAATTCTCATTTTGCTATCATCCCAGAGTCTGAACAATCAGCATGTAATAAATAGTAGAGATTCTGTCATTTTTAGTTTTTAAAACTTTTTTGCTGTTGTCTCTTTCCATGACATTATTATTGTCCCTAAAGTGGATATCAAGCACCACAAATCCTTTCTGAAAGTAGGAGGTGGGCATGTGTGTGTGTGTGTTCAGTGCTCAGACTAAAATTCACTTTTCTTCCTAATTTCTCTGTGAGCCGTGGGGAGCCAGTCACCTTTGTGTTCTGCAGCATGAAATGGAAACCAAGATTGATTAATCAGTTAACACGTCCACGAAGGGTCTTAGGGAATCTGAGTAGCCGTGGGGGGGCAGGAGAGGTGGGGGAGGATGGCATCTAGTTACCACTGAACCAGGCAGGTGACTCTGGTCAACTCGGTGAACCTAAAGCTTCAATATTGTCACCAGCAAAACTGAAGTAACATCCAGTGTGCCCAAGGTTCTGTATTCAGGCCCTGGAAAGGGATCATGGATGGAAAATATTTTGTAAATGGCAAATAAGTACATAGTTGTGTATATGATTTTACTTTATTATATACAAACACTTGTTTGTGTTTTATATCATATACACACATCCACACATACGTAATGCGTTATTACTAAAATCTATTGAAGTAATTTTATTTCAAAAGAGTGGATACATTTTCTAGACTGGGCAAAAGCAAGCTTCTGCTCTGTATCGCTTGACACAGGATAACTGACTTTTACAATAAACTGATAACGAGATTCCCATTTAAGTAAGAACTGTTTACAAAAGCAAACCTCAAATACCTCCAACAAAATGTCGTTGTAAGGAAGCGTTCACTTTACTAACTCGAATTGACTTCGGATTAACACTAGTCCTTCACAGATGTGGGATGAGATCACACTGCTGGAAAATATATCAGTTTCCCTTTCAAGGAATAATATATGTTCCCCTCCCTCCCACCCCCCAGGCCCGCCTTTTCCCTTAGCTAATGGAGTAAATATTGGAGAACTTCTCCTTTAAGACACTCTTAAGAGAAACTCAGCAACCTGGTGGCCATGAGTGGCGGTCTCCACGTCCCCTGAGGCCTGGCCTGGTGGGCACATTCCCTCAAAGTGGGCTCTGGGCTGGGGTCTGGAAGCCTGTGTTTTAACAAGACCGCAGGAAATGGTTATGCCCACACTCTGAGTAGCTAGGGTCTCCACATTTATCTCGGAGGAATGTGAGCACTGGAGGAAAAGTCTGAGCTATCCAAAATAAGGAAACCTTTTACTGCAAGATAATAGGCTTCAGGAAGTGCCCTGAGGATGGGGGCCTTGGGACATTGTCCCTGGAGGCAGTGTGCACAGACTCTCTGTACACCCAGGGCCTCTGGTGGAGCCGTGGGGAAGGACGGGCTCGGCTGTCCCTGACTCCTGCCTGCAGGTGGCTGTGGAAGTGAAGTGAAGAAGTGAAGTCGCTCAGTCATGCCCGACTCTTTGCGACCTCATGGACTGTAGCCCACCAGGCTCCTCCGTCCATGGGATTCTCCAGGCTAGAATACGGGAGTGGGTTGCCATTTCCTTCTCCAGGGAATCTTCCCGACCCAGGAATCGAACCCAGGTCTCCCACATTGCAGGCAGGCGCTTTAACCTCTGAGCCCCCAGGGAAGCAGCAGCCTGTTTTTAGACACAGGCCAAGGAAGACACAAGTGTGGAAGTGCTTTGCAGGGTAGGTATAAACATCAGGAGGTATTTTCATCATCAAAATTTTGCACAGTGTGCTGGGTACCGTAAAAGGAGAAGAGGGCCGCAGAGGATGAGACAGTTGAATGGCGTCTCTGGCTCTCCAGGCGTGAGTCTGAGCAAACTGTGGGAGATACGGAGGAGCCTGGCATGCTGCAGTCCGTGGGGTCGCAAACAGTCGAGCACGACTTGGCGACTGAAAAAACAACTGGGTACCTAGACACAGTCTTGGTGGGTGTGGGTAATGGAAGAAACTCAGTTCCTCTTCCAGAAAGCCCTGGAGGGTGCTGGAGAGCTTTCCCAAACGTTTCTTGAGTGGAAGTCTTGGACCTGGGTGGGGACAGAGGTTCTGCTGACACTCCCTCTTTGCATCACCTCATTTTCCCCTGCGCTTGGCCTCCGCCTATAGCATCCCCCGGCCCACGCCCCCACCTCGCCCCTTCAAGAGGGCATTTGTCAAAGGGGCCGGAGTGGGCTGTTTGACTCCCACGCACTCATGATCTCTGCCGACCTCCAGCCAACCTCACCCTGGGGCTCTCATTTACTACCATCTTGAAGCACATGTATTTGCAAATTGGTGCTTCTCAACCTTCAGCCTCAAAAAGATAAAACAGGCTGCCTCCCCCCAATGTTTCATTTTCCGTCTGCCTATCTCTCTATCCCACTCTCCTTCCATCCCTCATCCATCTATGCATCTATGTACACATGTACGTGTGTATCTCCATCTCTGCATCTTTCATGAAGCTGCACTTTCTCAGTCTCCGTTGCTGTGTGTGATTCATGATGTTATTATATTTTCTGTGTACATTTGTGTATATTTGTACTGTGAGCTGACCTTGGACTACTTTCAGTAATGTGCCTCTTCACTTACTGGTGTATGCTGACCCATCCAGACTCTTGTTGACCTACTATCAGTTCAAACAATATTTGCTCAGGAGTGGGGACTGTTTGGTTTGTATTTGTTTGTTTGAGTCTCTGATGGGAACTAATCAGAGGACAGAATGACTTTGCCCTTGAGGACTCCTGAGTCACGTGCATTCCAGCTTGATCTGACGGTGTATCTGGAGACGCAACTGGCTTTCCAAGTCCAGGCTGTGATCAGCAGACTTTCAACTAGAATCAAAGCAGATGGGAAATTCCAGATTCAATATCTGACGGCAGTTGACCCTGAGATGGGCACACTTCTGGGACCCTGCTTCTCGTTTAACATTCATTCAACAACAGTTACTGACACCTGCTCTGGGCAAGGACTTTGGTGATGGGGAGACCTAGACACAGAATTGCCTCTGAGGTGCTCACAACTGTGTATGTGTGCATCTAAATGGACAATCTGTCCCAGTGTATGCATGCGCCTGGGTGCAATCGTCCTTGTGTGTGTGTGTGTGTGTGTGTGTGTGAACAAGGAGAATATCCAGGGGAGGACAGACAAACAGCTTTCTTCAAGGTCACTATGTCAGAGAGCAGCAGAGGTGAGCGCGGAGCTGGGGGCTGAGACTGTAGCCTGGGGTGCAGGCAGGGGCCGGGGACTCCAGGTGGGGGACACCAGCAGAGACCAGGTCCCGTCCGCCAGGTCCCAGCTCGAGACAGAAGCAACACACTGCTTCCGCCCCCAGCCGCACTCACCTTCTGCTCGAATCGGAGCCCCTGGAGTATCCCTCTGGGTTTGTCCCCTGGGAAGCCCTTCCACTTGGTCTCCACCCTCTCTCGTCCTGCTCCGCGGTCATCGTGCAGGACGCACACAGAGCCGACTGCGGTCACACAGGGGAGGAGGAGGAAGGTGGCGTCTCTCTCCCCTGGAGCCACGGCTCTCTGTGAGCGAGGACGGTCCCTGCCTCCCATGTGGAAAGCAACGGCGTGCCGGGAGGCTCAGTGACAAGTGTCTCAGTAAACACCCCGCTCCTCGCGTGCTAATGCAGAGGCACAAAGGCCTGCTTTCTGCGCCAGCGGCTTCAATTCCAGACTCAGGCGAGCTGATGCGAAAGGTCTGATGGGCCTGCCTGGATGGATATCAAATAAGCAATTTCTTACAAATGTGGAACCCAGTGATGGAGGGGACCCACAAGGTGATGAAAGGAGCCTGAGATAGCATCAGAGATGACTTAATACAGGGGGAGCCGGGCAGAGGTGATCGGCACCCCAGCTTTTGCTAAATTTAACACGACTAGCCAAGTAAGAGAAGTCGTCACGGAGAAGACGTGGAAACCCAGCCAAGAGGTTGGGCGATGGAAAATTAACTGTAGTTGAGACATAAAATTTTACAATGTAGGGACTGTAGAGCGATTGGACAGCTTTCATATTTTAAGAATGCAGTTCAATGGACCATCTCTTAGTATTATCCTGAAAGCTTACACTTTTGATTAAAACCATAAAATCCATCTCAGAGATCCAGGAAAGAGTGTGCATACATTAAACCCAAACATTCTTCCACCTGAACAACCAGTAGTCTCAGTTTTCCTTCTATCTTTAATTTCATTTAAAGGGTCGTGGCCAAGATACAAGTCTTGTATGTGAACTCTCTGTAGAAAAGAAGTCAGAGATTTTAAAAGATTATTTAAGAGTTTACACATAGGATAATTTTCAGAGGATACAAGGTCAGATCCACGCTTAGGCACGGAGCTCTGGAAAATGACCGATGTGACGTCCCCGGTGTCGCCTGCCTGGAGGGGCTGGAGGCTGACTGAGGACAGAGCCCTGCGCGTCCAGGGAGACGGTCCTGTGACACCGTGAGCTGATGGGGAGCCGCAGGGACAGAGGAAGCGGGGGCGCTGGAGGCGGGCGACCCGGGGCCTGGCCGAGCTCCTCTCCAGATGTCACCGTCTGTCTCCTTGTCTGCTTCACTCACATCCACGCTCCTAACTCCGCCAGGATCGCAAGTGCTTGTGTAATTGCTTGGGGCTGGATGATGAGAGAGCTCTGAGGTTTGGAATTACTTGTGCCAAGATCTGTCACACCAGAGAGTGTTGTGTACTGCGAACAAGAAACCCAGAGGAATAAAAAAAGTAATAAAATAATAGATGTGGTTATGAGGTGTGTAGCAAATCCAAATTTCCATGATATGCTAAGTAATAAAAATGTTTCTCAAGAAACATCTCCCCTAACAGAAAGGAATCACATAGTCTTCAATCAGCTGAGCTCAATTCTTGAGCATTTACTGAGATCCACTTATACTTGAGGTACCGTAAAAATGGATGAGAATGAAGCGTGAACCGCGTACGGTCACCCTGGCGACAATCACATCTCCAGTAAATCTAAGAAGAGAACAAACATTAATTTTTGATGTTGAGTACCTGCTCTGAGTACCTGCTCTGAGCCCGCTGTACTAGACTCTGAGGCTATTAAGTCGGTTAAACACAAAATTCTTATCATTACTAACATAGGCTGTTTGGTCTATTTTTATTTGCTGCTTTTATAAAAAAACAAATTCTTGTGGTCCAAAGTCTTCATTCAGTAGAGGACTAAAACGGAAAAATGCTTAAACCCGATCCCGACCTCCTGGCTCCTCTATCTGGGTCTCAAACAGTCAGACACGACTTAACAACTAAACAACAACAACAGATTAGAATACACTACCTCGAAGTGTTTTCCTACATTTCAGAAGAGCCTGGCATGTTTGACATCTGCCCACAGACCTTGTGCTGTAGCTGAACCTGAGGGAGAGACAGGAAAAAGTCATGGAGAATCTCAACTCATGCCAAGTATTGTGGTAATCACTACCTTTTCTTTTGAAAACCCTATACTGGAAAAAAAAATTGGTAATTTTTCAGTAAGGCCAGAATATAAGACATTTACTGTTGTTTATCTCCACGAGTATTTCTATAGCAAATGAAGTAATCAATGATAGCTTAAATAAATCATCCTGCAATCCCACTCCTTGACATATATCCAGAGAAAACCATAATTCAAAAACATGCTTGTATCCTGATGTTCATTGCAGCACTATTCACAATAGCCAAGACATGAAAGCAGTCTAAATGTCCATCGATAGATGAATGGAACTGATATACCATGAAATACTACTTGGCCATAAAAAAGGAAATACTGCCATTTGTAGCAACAGGGATGGACCTGGAGATAATCATACTGAGCCAAGCAAATCACACAAGAGAGAGACAAGCATCATATGATATCACTTTTATGTGGAGTCTAAAAGATTGAAACAAATGAACTTATTTACGAAACAGCAGTAGACCCACAGGCATAGGAAAAACACAGTCACCGAAGAGGAAAGTTGGGTGGGGAGGGATAAGTTAGGAGGCTGGGATGGGCAGATGCACACCACTATATGTGAAATAGATCACACAGCAAGGACCCGCTGTATAGCGAGGGAAGTCTACTCAGCATTCTGTAATAACCTATTAGGGGAAAAAATCTGAAAAAGAACAGACATATATGTAATGTATAACTCAATCAGTTTGTTGTAAATCTGAAACATAACATTGTAAATCAACTATACTTCAATAAGATAGTAGCATATTATATATATATGCATATGTATTTATAGTAAGTTGTATATATATATGCATGTGTATATATGTATACCTTACATATATTCCAAAATATTAGCAGAGATGGGAATTGTGGTGTTGATATTGGTTATGACTGACCTTGGATGTCATCTATGTGCTATTATTGCTACAGTCAGAAAAAACAATTTTAAAATGAGTTCTCTTTATAAAGACAAAAAATAATTTACTAAGCACTAGCTCTGTCAGACATTATCCTAAGAACTTTACCTGTGTTAACTCATTTGCTCCCCATGACCACTCTATAAATATTGCTGCTGTGCCGTGTCTGTCATTAAGCTGTAACGAACATCAACTATGGAAGAGCTGGGCTTCTCAGGTGGGGCAGTGGTCAAGAGCCTGCCTGCCAATGCAGGAGATACAGGAGACCTGGGCTCACCCGCTGGGTTGGGCAGGTTCTCTGGAGGGGAAATGCGCAGAGGAGTCTGGAGGGCTACAGACCACGGGGCTGCACAGAGTCGGACACAACTGGACACACACACACACACACACACGACTGTATCAGGAATCTCGAAAGCATTATGCTAAGTGAAAGAAGTTCATTATCAGAGACCACATATTGTGTGATTTCACTTATACGAAATATAAAATTTTAGAATAGGCAAATCTTTAAAGACAGGAAGTAGATTAGTGGTTTCCAGGGGCTAGGGGGTGGGCGAGTGGAATGGAGAGTGATGGAACAGGGTTTGCTTTGGAGGGCGATTAAAATGTTTGTGGCGAGAGTTGCACAACCCGGCAAACATACCAAAAACCATTGAGCTGGGCACTTTAAATAGATGGATTTTATGACATGTAAATTATATGTCAACAAATACACTTAAAAATATATCAACTATGGTCTCATGATAAGTTACACAGACAGGACCGGTAGCAGTTACACATATTTCTCACACATTGATTTGATATGTGCATCTGTTCTATATGTTATATACTTATATGCTTTATATATATGTGTTCTATACATTAAATAAAGTTACATATTTATAAATTAATTTGTATGTATAAATTATATATAGCTTTTTCTTCTTCTTGCAATATAGTTGCATAAAATGTGCTTTGTTTAAAACTGTGTTTTTAACACTTAGAACAACGTCTATTCCTAAAGCTCACCCTCCACACGGGCCACTGGATCCACCGCGATTCTCCGTGATAGCGCTAAGCCAACAAAGTCAGGGTGCTGGCCTGTCATTTGATATCTGCCACAGCTTCCAAAGGGGAAAGGGGACACTTAGAGCAGGTGACTCGTGGGGACCCTGAAGCGGTTTGGAGTCAGGGGCCTCGGCGTTCACGGAAAACGCCTGCAGCCTCCGTCTCCCCGCGGCCTTGACTAAGCAGACACCACGAGAAACGCTAGCCCCACCTTACCTTCTCATCCTCCTTCTTCGATCACGTTTCACAGGCGACTTCCTGTCACCCAAACGCCTCCTTCTCTCCTTCTGCCAAGTGGAAAATTATTAGGTGCAGGCATATTCAATAGACGGTTGTTCAGTTGCACTTGAAAATGTTCATTTACTGTAATAGGCTCATTATTCCAGGAATGTAATTGGAACCCAGACTGTTATGACCTCAGGAAATAGAATGTAACAAAGCTATGCAGAAATATTAACTTTGCCCCCAAACAGGGCAGTGCTTTCCCCAGAGAAAGTGGAGAATCCATCACCCACCCTCCTCTCCCCTCTCAGACTCAGCGATGGTTGGCTCTTTCGGGGACTTAGAAGGCTTCTAGTCAAAAATTCTTAAGGGACCCATGGAGAAACTGAAGCCTACTAACTGGAAGAAATAGAACTTTTACTGTCCCAGAGGATTTTCTCTAGTGACCCCTAAGATTTGGAATAGCCAAGAACTAAACAAGAAAGAGCTTGTGTGCACCGAGGTGTGAGGGGCATCAGGCAAGGACATTATGTGAACTTACCTGTAACCAGGTGTTACGGTCAGTACTGAGTACGTTTTAAACAGCAAAGAAAAATTAAGAGGGCGGGTAGGAATAAAAGTCCCTATTAAAGGCCTACATAAAATGAGGGGATTAGACAACATGACAAGCTCTGACACTTTATTTCATGATGTTTATTACTTTTTTAAAAATTATTAATAAAATGGAGTTCAATATAAATGTAATACACATTCAAGCAGCCACTGCAGGAATCTGGTTTGATATTAATGATTTAGACTGGAATCTGTTCAACAAACGGGCTTAAAATAATTAGAAATGTAATTAGAAATGTTATCCTCTTAGTGGGAGAAATGCGTGGACTAATCTGAGACCTTATTTCTAAGCTTCAGCATAGCTCTATTCCAGAGACCTCATTTGGGGTTGGTTCCTTTTTTGGAGTAAAGTTTTATGGCCTCACATGACTTTACAAGAAGGCCATCATTATATGCACACACACATACATATGAGCCATGTTTGAAATTTCTAATTTCAGACTCTGAACAAAGAAACTATTTTGTAGTATAATAACACATATTTACTCTTATTAAAATGGAAGGGTTATTGTAAGTTTTACAACATTAAAAATGCGATGGGATTTTTAGATCCAAAATAATGTACAGCATTTAACATTTTTCAGTTGGCTTAAAAACACAGTGCAGACCATCAATCCAAGAGAAAAATGGGCAAAGGAAAAGACGATAATTACATCTTAAAATTATGAAATACGAAAGACAAAAAGAGATGCTCACTGTATTTAGAGTAAGAAAAATGCAAATTAAAACTATACTGAGATGTCATTTTTCATCCATCACGTTGGCAAAAAAAACTCGGACAGTTGTTAGCACCTTCCGTCGGGAGGCTGCAGGAAAACAAGACCCTCATGTCTTGCGGGTGGGAGTGAGTGCTCCTCCGGGCCCTGTGTTGGTCTGTTTGTCAATGATTATCAGACTTCTCGAGTGTGTTGCCCTTTAACCCATTACTCCCCTTCTCTAAGTTTATCCTATAGACTTGCACACCTGCAAAACGGCACATAAACAAGGCTTTCCACTGTAGCACTGTTTGCAATAGCAAAACCCTGGGCACACTTCGAATTTCTATTAGTAGAAGCTATTGACAGTATGGAATACGCAGTTATTTGAAAACAATGAGGAGTCTTTCTACTTATTGGTATGCAAAAATCTCCAGATCTATAATATTGTGTAAAAAGCAAGGTGAAAAAGCTAAGGGTATTGTATAATCATTTTGTGTAACAATAAAAGGAGAGATTAAACGTATATAGTTGCCTTTGTTAGTATTTATATTTAAAAACTCTGGAAAAATGCAAAGAAACCAGCAGAAGTTTGATGGGAGTGGGCTGACGGCTGCACCGACTTCTGTCCCACGAACCGTGCGTGGGGGCTCCCCGTGCTCCACACCCTCACCGAAACGTCTTGTTTCTTGTCTTTTTTCAGCAGTCACTGTAACAGGTGTGAGGTGATACCTCTTCATGGTTTTGATTTGCTTCTCCCTGACAATGAGTGATGGTGGGCATCTTTTCACATATCTTTTGACCATCTGTATGTCTTCTTTGAAAAAAATGTCTATTCAAGTTTTGTCCATTTTTAAACTGGGTTACTTGGTTTTTCACTATTGAGTTGCATGAGGTCCTTATATATATTAGATATTATCTCCTTATCAAATGTGTGGTTTGCAAATGTTTTCTCCCATTTTCTGATGCTATAAAAAGCCGTGTTCCTCATAACTACCCTCTTTCCCAGCTTAATTTTTGGTCTAGTGCCAATTACTGTCTGACAGTCATGTATTTTATGTATTTTTAATTGCCTGTGATATAAGCTTCATGATATAAGTTTTAAGAGGACATTCATTCACTCATTCATAGAACCACCTGGCTCTCCCTGGCCGCCGTGCAGGTAAGATTCTGAGGTCTCGTGTTGATACAAACCCACCATATAAGAAAGTTCAGCCGATGGGTCCCAGGCCAGAGACGTGCTAGGCTCAGTCGTGCCGACTGTTATGACACATCCCTCTTTCCTTCCAGATTCCCCCGCTGGGCTTTCAAAGCCTGGCCTGCTCCTCTGCAGAACGTGTCAGGGCCAAGACGCTGCTCTGAGCTCATCTGATCTGCAGAGATAGGAGACCTGTCAGATGTGGATTTTGTTGCCTTTGCAAAATGCGAGATGGGAAAAAGTGGCACAGAGTGAAGGTAAAAACAAAACAGTAAATGAGCGGAAAACTCTGAAGGGTGAGAACTGGGGTATGTGCACATACACACTAAAGGGAAAATCCTAAACAACACATAATCACATGATGAGGTAAGCACTGTGTATCACACGCTATGTCCTAAAGTCAAAGAATAACTGTTCCTTTTAAATGATTTGCTAACAGTCACAAAAATGGACTCTGGTCAACCAGAAAGAAGACCTTCCTTCATATCTTTAAAAAAGCCAAAATAACCTTTTCTGATCATAAAGCAATGAAATGAAAAATTAATAATAAAAGTAGAAACCAGGAAAAAAAACCTACCATCTAGAAATATTTTTAAACCTTTAAATTCTTCTGTCACTGAAAAATCAAAATCAAGATAGCAGAATATCAGCTAAAAACAAATGAAAAAAAATTTAAATGGGAAAACAGTAATAACAATAAGTAAATAAAAGCATTGGTTTTAGTAAAACTCACATCAAAATCCATCGGAATATCCTCCTGTATAGCCCAGGGAACTATATTCAGAGTCAGTAATAAATCAAAATGGAAAAGAAAATAAAAGGAAGGTATATATTTGTATAACTGAGTCACTTTGATGTACAACAGAAATCAACACAACATTGTAAATCAACTCTACTTCAATTATATTATTTTTTTTTCTACTTCAATTTTAAAAAAGAAATTGAAATGAGGGGAGAAATTCAAATATGAAAAACACCAATGGGCTCATTTGTGGTGTTGAGAATATGAGCAAATAGACAACGGCTATGATCAGTAATCCCGGTTCTGAGCTCCTGGAGGGGCAGCCCCGCCCTTCGCTGACTGCCCCCTGCCTCACCCTGGTCCTTGAAGGCCCCATCCAGGAAGTGGTGTTTGGTTTAGTCACTAAGTCGTGTCCGACTCTGCGACCCCATGGACGGTAGCCCGCCAGGTTCCTCTGTCCCTGGGATTCTCCAGGCCAGAATACTGGAGTGGGTGGCCATTCCCTCCTCCAGGGGATCTTCCCCACCCAGGAATCGCCGCCGGGTCTCCTGCACCGCAGGCGGATTCTTTACCGACTGCGCCGCCAGGGAAGCACCGTCCAGGAGGTAGGGCCCAGCTCTCGTCCCCGCCCTGCTGCTCCCCTGGCTCCGGGAGCCGGCCTCAGGGCCGACGGCAATCAAGTCTCAGGAAGGCGGGTGCAGCAGGCCTGCTCCTCACGCCCGCCCTATGGAGAGCGGGCTCATGGTCCCTCCTGTGTGACGTGGGCGAGGGTGTTCGCAGAGTCAAAGAAAATACCCTGAGTTGTGACCCCAAGCGGGGGGTTAGCAGGAAACGTTTCTGAGGTGACGGCTCTGAGTTGGGGTGTCCCCCAGGCAGACCTCACAGATGGCTCATCGAGTCTTCACCGTCTGAGCCAGCAGGGCGGTCCAGGCTAGGGGTAGGCAGGTGCCCAGTCGCAGCACGGAAAACCGTCACCGCTCCCAACAGAAGGGAGAGAGCAGTGCTCCCCTGGGCCGGGGACTGCAGACCCGGAGCGGTGCATGAGCTGCCAGCCTCTCTCTGCCCCACCCTCTGGTCCCGCGGGTGTTGGCCAATGATCATACCCACTGCGTGCCAACCCGCCTGGGCACAAAGTGGGCTGAGCAGGACAGAGAAGAGGCCCGGGCTCGGGGGCCAACACCGCACGGCCGGCTCAGAGAAGAGACGCGGGCCCCGGGGCCAACACCGCGCGGCCGGCTCAGAGAAGAGACGCGGGCCCCGGGGCCAACACCGCGCGGCCGGCTCAGAGAAGAGATCCGGGCCCGGGGGCCAACACCGCGCGGCCGGCTCAGAGAAGAGACGCGGGCCCCGGGGCCAACACCGCACGGCCGGCTCGGAGGAGAGACGCTGGCCCCGGGGCCAACACCGCACGGCCGGCTCGGAGAAGAGACGCGGGCCCGGGGGCCAACACCGCACGGCCGGCTCAGAGGAGAGACGTGGGCCCCGGGGCCAACACCGCACGGCCGGCTCGGAGAAGAGTGCCCCGGGGCCAACACCGCACGGCCGGCTCGGAGAAGAGACCCGGGCCGGGGGGCCAACACCGCACGGCCGGCTCGGAGAAGAGACGCGGGCCCGGGGGCCAACACCGCACGGCCGGCTCGGAGAAGAGACCCGGGCCGGGGGGCCAACACCGCACGGCCGGCTCGGAGAAGAGACGCGGGCCCGGGGGCCAACACCGCACGGCCGGCTCGGAGAAGAGACGCGGGCCCCGGGGCCAACACCGCGCGGCCGGCTCAGAGAAGAGACGCGGGCCCCGGGGCCAACACCGCGCGGCCGGCTCAGAGAAGAGATCCGGGCCCGGGGGCCAACACCGCACGGCCGGCTCGGAGAAGAGACGCGGGCCCCGGGGCCAACACCGCACGGCCGGCTCGGAGAAGAGACGCGGGCCGGGGGGCCAACACCGCACGGCCGGCTCAGAGAAGAGACCCGGGCCGGGGGGCCAACACCGCACGGCCGGCTCGGAGAAGAGACGTGGGCCCCGGGGCCAACACCGCACGGCCGGCTCAGAGGAGAGACGTGGGCCCCGGGGCCAACACCGCACGGCCGGCTCGGAGAAGAGTGCCCCGGGGCCAACACCGCACGGCCGGCTCGGAGAAGAGACGTGGGCCCCGGGGCCAACACCGCACGGCCGGCTCGGAGAAGAGTGCCCCGGGGCCAACACCGCACGGCCGGCTCGGAGAAGAGACGCAGGCCCCGGGGCCAACACCGCACGGCCGGCTCGGAGAAGAGATCCGGGCCCGGGGGCCAACACCGCACAGCCGGCTCGGAGAAGAGACGCGGGCCCGGGGGCCAACACCGCACGGCCGGCTCGGAGAAGAGACGCGGGCCCGGGGGCCAACACCGCGCGGCCGGTTCGGAGAAGAGACGCGGGCCCCGGGGCCAACACCGCGCGGCCGGCTCAGAGAAGAGACGTGGGCCCCGGGGCCAACACCGCACAGCCGGCTCAGAGAAGAGATCCGGGCCCGGGGGCCAACAACGCACGGCCGGCTGGGAGAAGAGACGTGGGCCCGGGGGCCAACACCGCACGGCCGGCTCGGAGAAGAGACGCGGGCCCGGGGGCCAACACCGCACGGCCGGCTCGGCCGCCATCCGCCCCCCAGGCTCGCTGCCGCCGGGGACAGCCTCCTCTTCCTTCAGAGGGGGCCCCCTGCCGGAGCCCGTCCAGCATCCACACCGACCTCTTGTTTGTGAACACTGATGGAGTTTGCTGTCTTCCCACGTGTGAACCAAAGTCCCCGAGAAGCCGAAATGTGATAGTGTGTCAAAAAGTCACCTAAAACTTCTCAGACAGTAGTGAAAGTTAAAAAACAAAAGGCAGGAAGGCATTTTCTATAGGGCAATTATTTGGGGAAAAATAAAATCAGAGTTTTCATGATGTGCTCACAAAAGCAAAAATGCACTTGGTGATAAATTCCATCATCTGTCACACAGACTTGTGTTCCCTGCAGACATCACAGGCACACAGGCTAAACAAATGGGGTTTGTGAAAGTATTAGTCCAGCTGTAAAGAACCAGGCAAACATAAGTTTATAGTATTATATTTAAACAATACAATCTATTATTATTATTATGCTATAACACATATGAGTAAGCATGCATTAAATTTATATTACAGATTCAGAAGAAATGATTTACTTTACTTTTTTATTAAACAATTATTTATTAAGTACCTGTCATGGTACTTAAGTCTCCAGAACTACAAACCTGAAAAGCCCAGTCCTTAGAATTTATACTCTAGAAAGTACAGGGTTCAGTAAGCTGTTGGCAGTGGGTCTGGTCTAGCCCACTGTCTCTTTATTTATAGCCTGTGAGCTAAGAGTTGCTTTTACAGTTGTAAATGGTTTTGAAAAATGAGAGGAATAATATTTCATGTCAAAATTAGATGAAATGCAAATTTTAATGTCCTTGAATAAAGTTTTATTGGAACATGGCCACACTACTTGTTTGCCTGTGGATGAGGCCTCTTTGCATGAGAACAGTTGAGGCAAAGACCGTGTAGCCCACAAGGTCTAAAGTATTACTATTCTAAAACTCATTCTCGGGCCTTTACAGAACAATGCTGCTGAGCCCTGGTCCAGTGGAAGTTACCTGGAGATACAGGATGTTTGCATCGCTGTACCCGCCCTTCCAGAATAGGCAGCCTTAGTGCTTGCCTTTGCCCAGCCCAAGAGAGCAAGGCTCTCCTCAAGGAGTAAGGACCAGAGGGAATGTAAATAAATTAAAGCTGTTCATTCTGCCTGTAGAAGCTGGGTGTACATGGGGCTTGTATGTTTGCTTCAGGTGTTGTGTGTGTACCTGTATGTGTGCGTGTGTAATACACAAGTGCAGAAAGCATCTTGCCAGGAAAAGGAGGAGGTGGGAAGGAAACAGGGTCCACCAACCGCAGGATGCAGCACCGCTGCCCCGGGGTTTCAGGGCAGGTGGGTCGGGGGAGCTTTCCGGAGAAGGAGAATATTGAGTCTTAAGGGTGGGGACCTTCAGAGGGGTGCCCTCTCCATCTTTCCATCCATGGCAGGAAGGCCAACCGCTCACCACATGCCAGTTTCCCATGTGTGTTCACTTTGACCATGAGTGCTCTTTAAGGAGAAGCTGAAGAATGGTTTATAAGTGCAGACCTCAGATGCGGGCGCTGTAGACTCTGGCAGGCATGTTATTTACAGTTTCCCTGTGACAGTCTTAATCTTATTGGCTTCCTAACATTACTCTTTAGAGAATTTTTATTCTTGAAAAACAGCAAATTGTTCATCTCTGAAACACTAGATAGGTCTGTGACTCTGAGAGCATTTTGAAAATTATAAATGATAAGGAAACTCTGGGCCAAATTTTTTATATGACTCTCCAAGAATTATGCAGGATGGGAATCTGACCCTTTGAGAGTTAAAAATGTTTCTGGAGACGGAGAAGACTTCGCGCACTAGAGTGAAAGTGCCTTAAATCATATCGATGGTGCAATTATCTCTCGGCAAAGATCCTCGGAGTTGAAGTTCAAGCTGGAGGTCAGGAGGATGGCTGGGGGAAACAGGGTCCCCCTTGTTAAAATAAAGCAATTAGTTTAATATATACTATCGGGGAAGGAGAGCAGGGAGGGAAATTCCCCTTGTCAAACGCTGAACATTCAGAGCATCGCTTAGAGCAGAAGTAATAAGGCACTCTTCATGAAAAAATTGGCCCTATACCATGTCTAAATGCAAACATGTGTGTTCTTTCTTTCTTTAATTCATTTAAACTTCTGTTAACTGGGAATATTTTTATGTGCATTCTGTCGTTCCCTTTCTCACTTGAACAAAAATGTGTCAGGGGACAGGAATGGTGCCCAGGGTTGCAAACGCATTCAGACACCATAAAATATTTAACAGCTCTTTCTGGTACCGTTAAGCCCCACCGAATGGCTAAACAAACTTTAATTTACAATTCAAGGGCTGAAGCATTCAAAGGGCCATAAGATTTTGCTGCTGCTAATTTATATCTCTCAGAGACAAGAAATCTAAAATGAGTTATTTCAAAGTTCCCAAACCCACATTCCTTCTTATGAAAGAAAGATCTTCATTTCCAGGAGACTGCATTCTTTGCCACGGAGAAGGGCAGCGTTGCTCTGACAGCTCTAAAGTTCTGTGCTGCCGACAGAGATCTCAGAGAAGGGACTCCTGTTTCTCCCCCATCAGATAGCGACTGCTAAGCAAGCTGACTTCTCCCTTGGCTGGTCCAACCTAAGTGGACCAAGGAAGCCCTATGGCCTGGAAGAGGGACTTATTTTTAAGTTTTCTTTATAACTTATACTATAGAAAGTATATAACTTATAATATAGAAATTACATATTTCTATATAATAAAATGAATTCTTTTCCCATAAATACTTCTTTTTTTTTTTCCTTCAGAGGACAGAACCAGTTTGTTTTGGGCCTTTCTGCTGAAAATTTGTCTCATTTAAGAGGCAGTTAGGATCTTTACCATATGTATGAATTTGTGTAATTTCATTTTGGATAGGGATAAGCTTCTGCTTCTGATAAAAGCCCAGGGTTTCATCTGGTTCCTCAGGGGAAAAAAAGAATAAATAAACCTCAAAAATATGATAGGTGATTTGAACCCAAGTGGGATCCAGAGTTTGTTTTGGTCTCATACAATGAGTGAAATAAATTAGCTTTTGCAATGATACACCTGGGTGATTCTCAAAAATATCATCCTGAGTTTTCAATTACCCAAAAGAAGATCTACTGTGTGACTCCATTTCTCTGAAGCCCTTGAACAGGCCAAGTTAAAAGCTGGAAGAGAAGCTGTCTGACTGTGAAGGTGGAAATCAGGGACTTTCCTGTTTTATGTCTTGATGGGGTTTTGACGGGTGGAGAGACATACAAGAAGACACCTGCAGGAAACTGCTGATAGTTGGCTCGAGGTCCCGGACAGGCAGGCCTTCTGGTTAAACCCCTCTGACTCGTTCACAGCAATGATTTGGGGGAAAGGTGACGGGAGGCACCACAATGTCAGGCCGGGGACACCGGCTGGGCGGCCGCTGGACCGCCTCAGGCCAGCCCACACAGGCAGTCGCCGCGCTCACATGAAATCCTGACTCTCAATTTACCACTTACATGTTGGAACCAAGGTATGTATTTCCTACGGATTATCTCGAACAGTGTGAAAGTCCTCACAAACCTACTCAAAAGTCTTATGGTCCCCTTCCTCTAATGTAGAAGCTATAGAATTTATGCAGCAAAGGGTGGATAAAAGAGCCAGTTCTGGGCTACGAGATGAAGTAGGCCTCTAAGGACAGAGTGTCCCACAAAGCTTTTTAAAGAGGAAAGATACGGTAGGTCCACCTGTTTCAGGTTTTCACCCTTTTCCCTTCACTCACTTTTCTTCCTGCTTGGGATACAGGGCCTGGAGGTGCAGCAACCATCTTGCCACCATGAGGATGAAGCCATACCTGCAGAAGATGGCAGAGCAGGAAGGCAGATGGAGCCTGGCGAGTAGCCTGGTTTCGACCACAGGAAGATTTCTTGTTATCTGACACAGATAAACTCCTTAGTTTTTAAACATCTTCAGGTTTTATACTGCATTCACTCAAACACACGCCTAACTAATATTCATGGCATCTTAGGTCTTGATTTTCACTGGCTTCAGCAAGGAGTACAGCAATTTGAACACGACTAGGACGGAGGAAGGGCGAAACGGCCCCCAACCAGCACACACAGAGACGCAGACTGAGACGGTCATGAAGGCGTGGGGCGCGGGTGGGGTGGGGTGGGGTGGGGTGGGCCATACGAGCCAGTCAGCACGTCTTCCTCTTCCTCCTCTACCTCCTTGACATTATTGTACTGAATCTGGTTTAAAAAAGCACAAAGTGCAGGCTTGAGTGAAGAGGGGCTGCCAGAAAGCTTGATGCCACGGCCCTGGAGACCCCACAGAAGGGACAGGGGACACCGTTGCCAGAGGCCTGAGGCTCTGCAGATCGCGTCTGACTATGTCTAAGGACCCCAGGCGGTTCCACGTCCCGTGTCTGCAGCTCTCCCTCCACTCCCAGCAGCGCCTCCTCCTCACAGCCAAGGTTGTGGGGCTTCCAGATGCCAGGGGCCCAGGGGCAGCTTCCAGGAAGGGCAGCCCGGGACGTCTTGATGATGGCGGTTGGGTGTGAGTGGCAGCCGCCTTGGGGCTGGGGGTCACCAGGCTGCAGGAAACGGGAATGACTGAGTCATTCTACAGACGTGGCTGCTCCTTGCCAACCCAGGTTCCCGGACCAGCTTCAAATAGAATAATTTGAGCAGGGTGAATTCACACTCCATGAAAACAGACAGGAGATACAGATCTATACCTTTTCCTCATGTTTTCAGAAATGGCTGGCTTCCTGCCCATGGCACATGCAAACATTTAATCTCTAGAGTTTGAGAAAGGATGAGTCTTCTCAGCACTGGGATGTAGACCCTGCAGATAACGGCTGTCCACAGCTTCTAACTCAGCACCACCACGTCACTTTGATATCGCTTAAGGCTCTCTCTTGGGCTGGCAGGGCAGGCTGCCGACGCCGGGAACACAGCGTAAGACTGTCAGGCCGCCCCATTCCTGCTGTCCACATGGTGAATTTCACTGGACACTCGCTTATTACAAAACTTGAAAAATATTGTAAACATCTCTGAAAGCCAAACCTCACCCCGGCTCAACAACTAACGCGATGTGAGTGGCCTTGGAGTTTATAAACCTGGAAGTCACATTCAGTCACTGGCAGGAAGCGGAGTTTACTTTCGTGGCCAAATCTGTTTTCTGCTTATGACAGGATTTTTTAAATTGCTGGTGAAAATCGCTGTGGCACAGATGGAAAATTACCAGGCAGACACTGACCGTTTCACTTCTAGCTGATGGCTTTGCTCCCTTTGTTTTTGAAAATAGTGGCATTTAAAAAAAAAAAAAAGGAAAAGAAAAAGGAAAGTTGCATTTTCTACCGTTTAAGTCCTTGCCTTGTCCTGATTGCATGAAAGGTTTAAAACAAGCCATCTTACTCCCAACAGTTCCCAACAGGCACGAGTGACCGTGGTGATATTCCATGTCCCTGGTTTAAGGCAGTGTTGCTGGAACCCTGACTTACTTTCTTCATCTAATGGGCATTGCAGTGGGACAGTAGGTGTCTCCACCGCTGACACATCAGACTCACGTGGAGATGCTCAGCCAGACACAGACACCTGGGTGCTGACGCCCAGCACCCTATGAGCAGGGCTTTTGTTACATCATGCATCACCCACATAAGCCCGACATTCTGCCAGCCGTTCTTGCCAAGATGTTAAATGCAAAGAAACACTGTCTGACATCCCAGGTTTTCATTAGAAAAGCAATAAAAAAGATTTTACCAGGGTCTCTTTAAAATGCAAAAGGGGACTCTGTTAATTAGAAACAAACAAACATAAAAGCAGACAAGGACTCCAGAAAGTCTTCTTTCCAATCGCTCTTTTTCTCTTTTTCCCATCTTTTCACGTTTCCATCACGTCAGCTTCTCCAAAAACTCTCTCCAAGCTCATCAGAAAGACCCCTTCAGTCAGTCTCAGCTTGAGGCTCCCCTTACTCCCTGCCCACCTACCCCTTCCTCCCCGGAAACTCTGGGAGTCAGCCTGCCCTCCCTGGGTTCTCTGCCTTTGCCCCGTGTTCATGGCTGTCATCCTGCCCAGCAGAGGTTTGGAAGTGGAGGACGTTAAGACAAAATTTCCCTCACTGCGTAGGGCAGGGGGGTGGGGTGGGGGCAGGTACTGATGTGGACAGAAATTCCACAGTTTTGGAGAAAACACAAATGCTCAAAATGCCTCCTTGGCTAAATGCCAACTTCTTTTCTAGGTAATCAGAACTTATAGGAAGTCCCAGGATGGATGGACTGGGGTCCATACCTTCATCCAGCACCACAGGGGGTGTGTCTGCAGGAAGGTCAAGTGGAAAAGTCCCCACCCTTCTAGATCTGACCCAGAGCTTCGCACAACTGCCCTCGATGGCCAGGAACAAACCAGAGCCACCACCACCAAGGCCTGGGCACAGCTGTTGTCTGGACCATTCACACGTCTTAACTCTGCCCATTTGTTAAAATTTCTCCGTTGGACTCAAATAGCTTATTTATAGCCCTGTATAGAACTCAGAAAAGAGGGGCCTTTTCTTGGAGGTAATCCATAGTCTGCAGAAAACCCATGACGTGCTAAGGTAGCGCGCGCGCACATGCGTGTATGTGTGTGTGCGTGCATACGTGTGTGCATACGTGTGTGGGGGCATGTGTGCGTGTGTGCATGTGCACGCGCGTGTGTGCATGTGTGTGTGTGTGTGTGTGTGTGTGCATGTGTGTGTGTTTGCCGCTGGAATATAGCAGAGCCCCGCCCCCCGCCTGAGAGGGTTCTTCCAGCAAATGACCTGGGCAGTCGCTTACTTGTTTTATGCCTCAGTTTTCTCCAAAGTCTGACACAGTGTAGACGCACGATGAGCAAAGAGACAGAGTTAGAAACACACCTGGAGCTGTGATTTCAGCTTCTTAGGGCAGAGACAAGTCGCCACTCGTCGTGTGGAAGGTGGACGCCGGGTCCCATGTCCTCCCCGTGAGGACCCCTGTGGGTTAGCTGCCCTCCGCTGACCCCACCTTCTGCCTCATTCTGTGCATTTGTGCGCCTAGCAGATCTGTGCTCTCCTAATCTTTCTGTCATCAGTGATCAGCCTTCCTTCTGGCAGCTTTTTGGCTTGAAGCTGAAGACTTTTGACAAGTTCTACAAAGACAAGCATTTAGCCAAGGGGCTCTTTTGTCAATTAAGACCTTTCATCCCTCAATTGCCATCAGGGGCTCACGGGGTCCCCGTGCTGTCTGGGTTTCAGGAATGAAGAGGAAAAATGTCAGGCCTTCTAAAGTCATTCCCTCGACACAGGAAAGGCAAGTTCTTAGCAGTGCAGATTTAAACACCTGCCCAAAGAGGAGGCGCACGTGCATGGAGGGTCTTTCCTTCTTCTCCAGCGGCGGTTGTCTTGGAACGACCCAGACAGCCAAAGCAAACACACTAGACCCGAGACACCACTCTGGGGTCCAGATTGCCCAAACTGACCCTCTCACCAAGTTGCTGATTCAGAGTGATTCTAATATACTAATATTAGTATAATTCTAATATTCTAAAAGAAAATCGTCAAAGCCTGTGCTTTAGCTGTTGAAAGCTGGCCTCAAGTTTCTAATATTGCATTATGTGGACAATGTATAGACGTGTTTCTTGTTATTCATACTCATAGTATACATATAAATACACGGCCAGGAGAACGTGACTCAATCCAACAGAAGCCTGAAACAGTTCTCTGGGCTTTTTGCGGCCAAAATCACCATTAATCGTACAGTTTAGAACACCAGGCTTTGTTCTGATGGCCATTTAAAAAAATTTTTACTTGTTTTACTCGGGCCATATTTCCCCTTTTGAGATGATTTAAGAACTTTAATAAACTGTGATCCGAAAACTCTCAGGATGCCTTTCCTGCTCTTCTGGGAAGAAGACACATAGATGAACCCAAACTGAGACTGAATTATGTTCCGAAAATCCAAAGGCCAAGAGGTCCAGTTGGCCCTGAGAGCTAGAATGGCTGATTTACAATATCACCGAAGTCCCCACGGAAGGCGAGCACGTCTTGTCTCCACTGCTTTTGTAAATTTTGTGTAATTTAAGAATGTTAATGCAGATAGGGTTGAAAGCGCCAGCAAATACTCGCAAATCAAGTAGATTTACCCCAAACTCAAACTTCCGCTTGCTGAACGCCTCTCAATGGAGATTAACTTTCATCTCTAGCAAACTGAGAAAATGAAAGGCTCGTCAACCTGTTTTTCAACTCACTAAGTTTCTGCACTAGCCTTCAGGTATGTAACTTGAAATACTTTGGTGAAACCAGCACAAACCGTGAAGAACTGTGAGATGGACGTGGCGCTGTTCAGTTGCCCTGGATCCCAAGATATTCCAAAGTTTTCCTCCAACCCGGGTCCTCCAAACTTGTGAGGATGCTTCATCTTGGAGGAGAACCAAGGAAAACTCAATTGTGCAGAGATAGCCACCACCAGTGGGACAGTAGAAAAAGTAAGAAAAGAGACGGCTCACTAGGAGATCAGGAAATTAATGTATGCACTCAGTCTGTCCTCTCCCGAAACTGATGGAAAGGGGGAAAGTAAGAGGTCTGATGAAACCATCTCAAAGTTAATTTCTGCAGAATCAAACTTGAGTAATGACATTACAGATTCATTTGCCAGAAACTTTTGAGCATGATCTAAGGTTTGTGATCTTCAGGAAGTTCTTAGCACAACCCTCTCCCTATGTCTTTTCTTGTTTAAATGAGAGCAAACAGCAGAGAGTGGGCAGCGGTGACCTGGTCCCACCCTGGCCTAAGCCATCAGGCCTCTCACAGATGTGGCGGCCATTTCTTGCTCAACTAGGATTCATTTATTTATTCTTCCCGTCCCCAAATCAAAGGAGTAAAACCAGAAACTGTCCCTGCCTGTTTGGGGGCAGAGACAGTCATGCAGCAATCACGTGACTGCCCATTAAATTCCAATTTGTAAAAACCTTCAAAGAGAGCCCTGCGGTCTTCCTACAGGACAGGGACCCAGTCAGGGCGGGCAGGGCGGGCCCGTCACGGCGGGCGGGCGCGGGCACCTGCTGGGGGCCGGAGCACAGGGCTCAGGGCAAGACGCCGGGCGTGCTGAGGACGCCTGGCCCAGCCATGCCGGGACCTGGGAGACCACGTGGCCAGCCCGTGCCCCTAAGGCAGAGGGAAGCCAGCGATGAGGTTTTCACCTCATTTTGAACAAGGCTGTTCCATCTGCAGGTGGGAACTCACCCCAAGCGGACAGCAGGGAGGCAGGCAGAACGGTGACTGCAGTGGCCCGAGGGGAGAACTCGGGGGCCTGGACGCGGGTGCAGAGGCTGTGGGGGGAAGGGCGGGGAGGGCTGCAGGTGACCCCGGGTGCTCTGGCTGGTGGCACCTGTCATCGGGATAACGAGCTGAGCAAGCACTAGGCTTTCAAGGGAAAAACTGACTTTGGTTTTGGGCACGTCAGGATTGTGCTGCTCTGGAATATCTCAGAGGAAATGTCAGGCAGGCAGTGGGATATGCCGGCCTGGGTCTCAGAGGGAGGTCCAGGCCAGAGGTAGACACGATGAGTTATACAGCAGGTTAAAGGTTAAGCACGAGCATAACTGGCATTACTAATCTATTCACAAACACGATGCTGGAAGCAAAATTTAAAGTAATAAAAACATCTGGACACCTCTAACTGTTATCCATCACTCCTAACGTGGCCCTCCCCCGCCTTCCCTCCCCTGAAGCCTTGACACTTCATTACTGTTCCCGCAGGCCCTCTATCTGACACTGAGATCTTCTGGGAAATCTGTCTGACTCTGGCTTTCACATACTAGAATCATTGTCTTGGTGCTCAGATGGGAGGACCGCGGATCTTGTTCAGCAAAGTTCCCGGATGTCCATCCCCTCCACAGCCTATCACTAAATTCCCCCAAGAACTTTAAGCAGCACTCCATCCAGAGAATTCCTCTTGCCCCTCAGGGGACTGGAGGCCCGCTGAACAAAGAAATACAGCATCCATCAGACATCATGAAGCCCAGTTGTGGTCTGTGTCCAATAAAATGACAGTTTTCTAGGCTCTCGCCTCACTCTTTCAACTTTCTCAACCATTTTCCCCTCCCTGGTGGTCTACAGCTAAAATCCGTGTTAGGCATTATATGCTTGAGATTGCAAAAATTATTCAGAGCATCTGAGACTCACATAGACTTTATTCTGGAGAGAGTTTGACATTTTGAAATCTAAGTACACCAAGCAATGGATTTCCCTGGTGGCTCAGATGGTAAAGAATCTGCCTGCAATGCAGGAGACCTGGGCTTAAATCCTGGGTTGGGAAGATACCTTGGAGAAGAGAATGGCAACCCACTCCAGGATTCTTGCCTGGAGAATCCCATGGACAGAGGAGCCCGGTAGGCTACAGTCCATGGGGTCACAAAGAGTTGGACACAACAGAGCGACTAACACTTTCACTTTCACACCAAGCAGTAACTTAAAAAAATTTTGCTTTAAAAACTTTCAAGGTTTTTAGACAAACAAAACTTTAATTTAGCTACGATGGTTACCTTCTGGATCCATGTGAATTTAAAATGCATCAGCCAGGTCTACTCAGAAGCAGTCGTTATTACAGAAAGAACTGAACCGTCAGAAAATGTGGTGTTCTGGTGCGACTTCTTCCTCGTTCTTCATTTATGATCTTATGAAAGTCAGTCATTCTTTTTGGACCTCAGCATCTCCATCTGCTAAATGGGAATTTAGTGCTTGACCTCGAAACTACTTATCTATGTAAAGACTCTTAGGATTGTATATAAATTTTATCATTTTATTATGTGGATGTAAAATATCATTGCTAAAACTTTAAAAAATATTTTCCTGTAACTTTCCTCATGTCTGTGTCTTTTTGGGGTGACAGAGGATGAGATGGTTGGATGGCACCATCTACTCAATTGACATGAGTTTGAGCAAGCTCTGGGAGATGGTGAAGGACAGGGAAGCCTGGTGTGCTGCAGTCTATGGGGTCACAAAGAGTAGGACATGACTTAGTGACTGAACATATTTCTACTTGAAATGATTTATCTAAAATTCTTTTACAATCAGTACTCTGATTTTTGCATTAACTTGTCTGGGCCACCAAGGGTCCAGATATTTGGTCAAATGTGATTCTGGGTGTGTCTGCTAGAGTGTTTGAGGATGAGATTAATATTTGATTCAGTAGGCTGAGTAAAGGAGACTGCCCCCCAGTGTGGGTGGGCCTCATACATTCAGTCTGGATTAATACATACAGAAAGTCTGGATTAGAGAGAGTTCACTCTCTGCCTGAGTCCCTGGTCTCTTCCTGTCTTCAGATTTGCCTCGGATGAGAATTTACCCCTTTCTCAGGCCTTCCGACTGGAACACGCGGCCTTACCATCAGCTCCACTGGGTCTCACCTCATCAACTGGCATCCTGGCTGCCAGCCTCCAAGATTGTGTGAGCCAACTCCTGAGAGTAAACCCCTCTCTCCTGAACATAGATGGACGATAGATACATGATAGATGAATAAATACATACATACATAATAGATATAGATAGATAATAGATAGATGATAGATGCATGGATAGATGAAAGACAGATGTTGACAGATAGGTAATAGATACATGATAGATGGATAGATAAATGATAGATGATGCTAGACAGATAATAGGTACATGATAGATGGATAGATAGTTAATAGATACATGATAGGCGGATAGATGATATATAGGTAATAGATGATAGATGCATAGATAGATGAAAGATAGATAATAGATACATGATTGATGGATAGATGATAGATAGGTAATAGATGATAGATGCATAGATAGATGAAAGATAGTTAATAGATACATGATAGATGGATAGATGATAGAGAGATGATAGATACATGTCCGTCCTTGTGGTTCGGATCCTTTGGAAAACCCTGACTAGTAGTACAGTGTCCTTCCAGAAGGATGCAGTCAGAGGGCCTGGACTGTCTTAGCAGCTGCAGGAGGTCTGAGACTGTGGTCTGTGGAGTCTGGAGGAAGGGCCTTGACAGACTCAGCTGTGTGTCCTTGAACGAGTTATCTCAGCTCCAGGAACCTGACCTCTTGAGGCCTCAACAAGAGAGCGAGGTGGCCGGCCCCCAGCAGACCTTCCTGTCCCTCTCTGCCCCTGCCCCTGCCCCGAGCTCGTCTCTCGGGGACTGCTGTTTCCAGCGCCGGGGCCGTGGGCACGCTGCTGCGTCAGCGCTCTGGCTGCCAACCGCAATGTCTGCACGTGGTCCTCTCGCTTCCCCGGGGGTTCAGTGACCCTAAAGGCTCCCGACGCAATCCTAGATCACAAAAACAGGAAACATTAGAGCTATGCTTCAGAAAATAATTTCTAACTGTTTTTCACTCCCCAGACATAACCCGCCCTCGCTGCATGCCCGCAGCATGCTCCTTCCGTGCCCTCCTCCTTCCACAGCGGGGGGCTGTGGCATCTGGGCTGCTGTGAGCCCACCCAGTCCAGGCCCAGACCACCGGTCGGCCCCCTCCCCTCGTCCCAGCCTTGGCCCGACCAGTGTCCCCTCTCGACTCTGGAGGCCCCATGCTTCCTCCTAAAGGCTTTTCCAGAAGGCACACAGGGAAGGCCCTCTGCGGGCACAGTCGGCAGGGCTCCTGGCTCTTCATGGTTCTGGCTGAGTGTAAACACCTCTGACCCAGTGGGCAGAAAGGCTATTTTTGGAAGGATGCTGCTGTTTACTCGGGAGAAAAGTCACCACACCAGGAGTGACAAGTACTTTTCCCTTTGCTCACAGATAATTTCTCTGGGCAATTTGGCAATGGCCACACTTGTAGATGAGTTATTTAAGTACCAGCCTTGGGCCACAAGTTACAACATCTTGGTGTTCACCTGCTCTCCCGAGAGGGATGGCACAGTGGGTCTGCTTGGAGGACCGGAAAGGAAGACACGGGCGACACAGGGCGGGGTCCTCCTCCTCCACGTGGTCCTTGCAGGACATGCCAAGACACAGCGATGCACCAGCATGGCTCCTGGTGCAGGAGGTCTGTCTGCGAGGCTGTCCTGTCGGCCTGAGGGCTGACCTCCCACAAGGCACCGCTCCAAACGTTTCCATGTGTCACTGTGATGTCATCTCAGTGTTCTACCAGCTTTTCAAAACCACTGAAGGTGCTTCATGAGGACAGAGTTACAGTCTGGGAAAAGGGAAGCTCTGGAGGCTGATGGCAGTGGTGGCTCAGCAGTGTAAATGCAGGGAACGCTCCTGCCCCGTGCACTGAAAGATGGTGGAAATGGTGCATCTTATTATATGTGTTGTAAGAAGGAATGAAAGAAGGAAGGAAGGAAGGAAGGAGGAAGAAGCTACATTATCAGAGTTGTCAGATTATGGTTCATCTTTATGCCTTTGGTTCAGTTCAGTTCAGTCGCTCAGTCGTGCCCGACTCTGCGACCCCATGGACTGCAGCATGCCAGGCCTCCCTGTCCATCACCAGCTCCCAGATCTTGCTCAAGCTCATGTTCATTGAGTCGGTGATGCCATCCAACCACCTCATCCTCTGTTGTCCCCTTCTCCTCCCACCTTCAATCTTTCCCAGCATCAAGGTATTTTCCAATGAGTCAGTTCTTCACATCAGGTGGCCAAAGTATTGGAGTTTCAGCTTCAGCATCAGTCTTTCCAATGACTATTCAGGACTGATTTCCTTTAGGATTGACTGGTTTGATTTCCTTGCAGTCCAAGGGACTCTGAAGCGTCATCTCCTACACCACAGTTCAAAAGCATCAATTCTTTGGCGCTCAGCTTTCTTTATAGTCCAAATCTTACATCTATACATGACTACTGGAAATGTCAAATTGAAAATACTTTAGCATAAGAACACAATTTTCGTTAACAACCTTTCATATCCACACTGACACATCTCTGACACATTTCCCTGCACTCTGCCCTCATCCAATGGAAAGAGTTTTCTCTACCAAATGTCCATCCATAAAATCAGTCTGTGGATTTACCTTATCTTGTTCCTACGCATGGAGGTGCCTTCACAACTCAGTGGACGTTGGAAATAAAAACAAGTCTCAGTCACACAGAGAAGTGGGGCTGACCACACATGCGGAGGCCTGGGGCCGGCAAGTGTTCCAGCAAATCTAAGCAGGTCGGCTCAGCGTGAGTGCTCAGTCCTGGGGATGGAGATGTGGAGCTCTCAGGTGCTATGGTGCTGGCGTGTCATTGAACCGTCTCAGGAGGCTGCTGAAACTTAGTATCTGTTGCTTAAAATCCTCCAGAATCCATTAGCTTATATTAAATGTGAGGCCATGCAATTCTTTCCTAATGACAGTCATTCCACGTGGCAAGTTTGAAAGATGAAACTTCCCACCAGGGAGGTGTTTCAGAGAAACTAGACCTGGTCAGTGCCTTCCCGAAGGCTCCCCTCCACCCCCCGGACAGGAGTCTCAGCCACCGGGAAAGAACGTGATGCCAGTGGAAGCGAGGATTCTCGATTTCCCTCGGTTCCAGGGCTCTTAATAGAGGGTCTTAAGGGGCCTCTTAAGGAAGAGCCTGACTAGAGGCTCCTCCAGGGGCTGGCTGTCCTGTTTACCCGTTGTGGCCGCTTAAGTCTGTCAACCACCAGAGAGGACAGTGGTCATATGTGTCTATTTCTCACCCACGTTCAGCCCCGAATGCTGGGCATTCGGGGGAAACGGTGTCAGCTACTTTTCCTGCGTGTGGCTCCGGACGTCCTTGGAGAAATCACTGCTTCTCACAGGAGCAGGAACAGGCGGGGAATGAAGGCAGCAGTCGTTTTCCCTGGTGGCCCGGGTCGCGCTTGTGCCGGGATTTCGATTAGGTGTTGCCACCTGACCTGCGCAGATAATGAGGGCAGATCCTACCAGTCGGAGAGCTGAGGAGCTGGGCGGATGACGACCGGAGTTGCCCGCTCTTAACTCCGCGTCTGTCCAGATTTGGGCGCTGGCGGGCGCCTTGGAGACTCCGTGGGCTGGTGTGTCTCCGGGATGCGGAGTCTCCAGGGCAACCGCTGACTCCGCCGCTTACCGGGGCACGCCCACCGTCTGGCTGCTCCGCGCGCGGTGAGAAGCAAGAGGTTCGCTCCTCGATCTGGACGCGGACCCCACGGCCTGCCGCACGGCGAGGGGCGACCCACACATCCTCGATGAAAACAGTCACAGCGGCTGCGCCCCCGTGAGCGCCCGGTCCCGCCCGTCCCTGTCCTGAGGCTCCGCATACGTCCACTCTTCCCATACTCACGGCCGTCGCCTACGGACGTTATCATTTGGACGCTCCTGGAAACAGAAAAGGGGGCGCGGGAAGGCCAGGGGCTCCCAGGGCTCAATGTGCAGAGCTGACTCCAGACACACACAGTCCGTCTTCAGTGCGTCTTCACCACTTCTGTGCCCAAGTAGCTGTCCAGACAGCCGCTCCCGACAGCATCAAGGCCCCCTCGCTTAACAGGTAGAGCACCTCCTGCTCATGGCCCACCCTGTCCTCACTCTCCGTGAAAGGAGGCGGGGTACACGCGCACACACACGTGTACACACACCCGGCGTCTGGGAGGATGAGCAAAGGGTGCTTCGTGTTTGCATGTGTGTGTGACCATGTGCACGTGGGTCTCTCCGTGTGCCCACACCTGTATCCCTGTCACTTCGCAGGTTATTCTACTTTCTGGCACGTCTCTGTGGTCAGCAGAGCTGAGGGGACCCTCGGGGGCTGTGACTCATCAGCCCGGCATCCACCACTGTCCCCTCCTGGCCTGGTGAGCACCAGCCCTTCCTCTGGGGCCTGAATCCACCAACCCTTCCTCCAGATCAGCTTCCAGACCCCTGAGGGCGGGTCCAGTCCCCGCCCCCACCCCACCCAGTACAAGCCGGCAGGTCTGCAGAGAGTTCACAGCAAAGAGAAAGCCCCAGATGAGTAGGCAGTTGGTCTAACATGAGAAGGAGGTCCCCGGGGGAGGCCAAGCCCATCGTCCTCCTGCCCCCGACGCCATGGGCCTCCAGCGTCACCAGCATGAGGAGGGGCAGACGTGTGGCGGACTGGCTGGGCTGCCAGGCGCCATCACACACCTGCAGCGGCTGTGTCTGCAGGGACATGAAGACCCTGGCTTCTTCGTCCTTTGTGCCGAGTTCTGGCCAGAGGAGTGCAGGGTGGAGATTGTGTAACTCAGGGGTCAGCGGGGTGCACCAGGTCCTCTAGGACTCAATCAGAACTGGCTGAGCTTCCTGCCCACATCCTGTGGGAAGGCTGGACCTCCCCAACATTCCCGTAAGCGCCGGGGGAATGACAGTCCCTCGGTCACTTCAGGTCCAGTTTCCTGTCCCCTGACCTCGATGCGTCCTTCCCAGCCCACCTCCAGGGACGGCCTCTGTCCCACACCTGGCAGCAGCCTTTCCCCTAATTCCCCAGCCTCCACCCTCAAGCACTGGGGGCCTGCACTCAGAAGGAGTGAGTTGGGGGCCTGGGCTGGGGAGTCCTCAGGACAGCAGGAGGTTCAGGTAGGAGGCTGGGGTCCTCCGTACCTGCCCCAGGGACGGTTCAGTTGCAGACCTCCCCCTCTCAACTGACTGGACACCCTTGTTTGCCAAACCCACATCTCGAGTCCCCCTTGAACTTCCGAGCTTCACTGAGCATCAGCTCATCTCGCAGTGACTTGCGCTCCTGCCCCAGCAGACCCTGATTTGTCTTCGGTGATCACAATGCCCATTCTCCCAGAGAGGGAAACCAGCAGAGGGGCCATCTCTGCTGCTCTCCTCAGCAGCCCCCATGTCTGGACAAGGGCCCAGACTGTGTAGCTGTCCTGCGTCAGCCACACGGTGTCCGGATGGGCAGGGGGAAGAGAAGGGGTGATCTACCCTGAACACACATTTGCGTACACTCCTGCACACTTGTATGCACGTGTCCACACCTGTACACATCTACAGTGTGTGCGTACATGTGTGTACAAGTATTTACATGAGTTCACGAGGGTTCAAATGTGCACGATTGTGTACAAGTGTGTACATATGTGTACAAGCATGCGCATATGTGTGTAGAAGTGTTCACAAGTCTGTACATATGTGTACAATTGTGTACAACTGTGTGCAAGTGTGTACTTGTGTGCACAATTGTGTACTTGTGGCACAAGCATGATATCATGTGTGCACATGTGTGCCTGGGTGTGCATTTGTGCTTATGCATGTGTGCAGGTCTATGCATATGTGTGCATATGTACACGTGTGTGCGTGCATGTGCCTGAATGTCTGAGAGCTGGCTGGAAATCAAAGCTAACAAGCCCCAGCTCCTGCCCACAGGCCTCACAGAAAGGGCGTGATGCTGAAGTCCATTCATGTGTCTGGCTGGCGCAGCTGCCTTTCCATTGGCACCGGGAGTGGAGGTAGAAATGGGCAGGGAGCTCTGAGCCAAGCAGACTGCAGTCAGCATGCTCCACCTAGATGCCCGCTGGGCCATTTCAGTTGACACCTGAAGTGTCCGGGGCTTGGGGGGAAGCAGGTGGGCGAGCCGGGGCTGGGGGCCATGCAGGACTCAGGCTGGAATCACACAGCCTCGAGCTGCAGCCCTGGAGGCAAAGCCAGCATGCTGTCCCGGGGCTGGGCCCTTCCCCGGGGCCCCATCACACCCAGACACTGTACGTCCTTCGTGTCCTGCCATCCAGGGGGAGGCGCGGGAGCCTCACAGACTTGCGGGCTGTCCTGGGCCCGGGGACACCTGCCCTCACACCCCAGGGCCCCTGCTCTCCTCTGCCTTCACCCACACAGGCAGAAGCTTCCTGCCAAACTGAGGACACCTCGATCCCAAAACGGGCTGAACCTCAGCCATTTCTTTCCCCCACCTCGGCTGGGTCGTGTCCACTCAGAAGAGATGCCCCTCCAGCCTCCACTGAGCTATGAGGATCCCGACTCTGCATGTCATCTCCTGGGAGCATCTGACCTCTGGGACACCAGCCGGGTTGAGCTCTGCTTCCTCTGCCTGGCAGTGGGGTTTGATTCACTGTGAAGAATTTTCTGGTTACTTCGTGGATTCAGTCATTTGGCTCCAGACAAAACTGAGCATCCATCTGCATCTGATTTCAGTCAATTGTGAACTTGTTGTCTTTTTTCTGAGTGGTTAGTGTTGTCTTTTTTCTGTGGGTGGATGGGGGGATGGCTATTAGGGGGTGTGTTTCATGAGAAAAATGCTGGGGGCATAAAGAGAGAAAACAAGATTTGGACTATTCCTGCTCAGAAAAATTCACGGCTAATAAGAAATTAGAAAGAGTCATCATGGTCTTCTCACAGCATGCTTGAGGGGTCAGTGACTCAGGGAGCCAGTGAGTGGATCTGCTGAATATGTCACCTGTGCCCCTGGGGACACGCATTCATTCACACAGCCCTTGAGATGGGAATTGTTTCATCCTGATTTTTTTCTTATTTCATCTTGATTTTAAGAAGATATTTGGAGAAGCACATACTGGTATTTGCCCTGCATCTTAGAGATCACTACCATGTCATGATGGAAAAATCATAACCTCTGAACTGGCCATTTATTAAGCAAAAATAAAATACCCATAAATTCCCAACATAGAAATCATACAGTTAAGGTTTTTCTCTAATAAAAGATAAAAAATAATTTTTAAATGACTTTTTTAATGTTTAAAAGGTAAAAATCATCATTACTAGAGGGAAAATACAAAATAAGCACATCAGAGATTTTACTTTCATCATCAACCAATGAGGAGACCAGTAAGATATTAGTTACCATGAGTTCAAAAAACAAATACACACGTACACGCACATACAGAAGCAATTAGAAATATTGAAATAAATTTACAGATAGATCAAAATTGGTCAATATCCACAAGGCAATAGTTATTTGAATCTCCAATAATTCAGACATAATATATTTATATTTCTATGGTCAAGAATCATTCACACTATCATGCAACTTCTTCAATTTATAGGTTGTAAAATAGCTCAAGTCAGAGATGACTGTTCCATGTTACAAGGGATACCTAATATTATCTCTGCCCATTTCAAACTTCCCCTAAATTTTGGTGTGTGTGTGTTTGATTTTTAATTGAATTTATGGGTTACTTAATGTTAGAATAAGAAACAAGTTGACAATAAATTTTTTTTACTAATTTTTGTTTTATTAAGAAGCCCTATTCGCATAAATAAGTAAATAGTAAATAAAAGAGTTGTTGAGGCTATGTCACTCAATTCTTTTAACTTCTTCTGAGTTATATGTCAAAAATCACATAATGATCAATCACCAAAATTATTTTTAATGATCCACCAGCTGATAATTAAGTTTTCCTGTAACTGTATTGAAAGCAAAGGATTGGAGACTGCCTGACTTGCTACCAGCACTAGTCTTTGCTCTCTCAGCGCATTTCATCAACTGCTCCACTGCCCCTTGGTTGCCCCCAAGGCCGTTACAGTAGTCTGTAGTGCCCTGGGACAGCTGAATGCAAGCGCGCCCTTTGCAGAGTGGGGAGGGCCGGGGGGCTGCAGATGACAAGCCAGCATCACTCATGTTCCTCATGAAGCTCTTGATGTGTTTGGCACAGAGCAGACTCTTTTAAACTTAACAACAACAAAATCCTGAATGAATAAATAGATGTCTAAAGCAGAGTTACCATAAAACTAACAGAGCTCAAGCTTCAGGACCCTTCATTACATGGGCTCCTTCCAGGGGCCAGGTGGATACCTCAGGAAACGGTCCACACGAACGTAAGTTTCTTGAGTGACCCTTCACAATGTGCTCGTGTGACCATGTGCAATAAAAGTTGCAAACAAAAGATCATTAACGAAGATGAACCAACGTTGTCTTCCGTTTTTATTTCCTGGCAGTCACACCTTCCCTCTGGAGAGCGAGCTGCAGTGTCTGCAGGGCAGGCGGACTCCGGGAAGGGGCGAGTGGAGCCGGGGAAACGGTGGGATAAATGGATGTGGTTCCCAGGCCCTCTCCTCTGCCGACGTGCTGCTGAGCACCCTGATGGAGGGCGGCTTCCTTGAGCGTCTCTACTGCATGCTGTGTCCACTGGCCCAGCCCCAAGGCTGCAGGATGCAGGTCAGAGGCAAGAGTCAACCCGAGGGCACCCGCTGCGGGGAGCGAGGAGAAGCAGGTCTTCACCTGCGCAGACTCAGAAGCCAGTCTGCAGGAGGCTCCTCCAGCCTCCACTGTGTAAAACTACACAGAGGATCATCACTATTGGTCAAAAGTTCATCCTGCTTTCTTCTTTCTTTCTGGATGGGGTTGGAATATCTGATAAAAAAAGGAAGCTTTTTTTTTTTTTTACTGGATTTAGAAAGATGAAACATTTTAATAAAGCAAATGAGAAATCATAGAGACTTGATTTGGATGTATGTAAACGTACATCTTTTGAATGCATATGAATGTACCTCTGTAAATGTGTTTGGGTGTGTATCTTCTTTTGGCCAGCCTAAATTTGTTAACAAATGAAGAGAAATTAATATTAAATTCAATAGAGTACAAACAAAAATGAATAGTTGTGCAATGGAATCCATAAGAAATATTCTGATATAGAGTACTAAATTTTGACCAAAAGAATGTTTAGATTACTTCAAAGCCAGTAATTCATCAACAGGAAGAGATAAATTCTGACTAGAAATTATGAGTAGGATTGAATTATAGGAAAATCTAATCAGTGAGGATGCCAGAATTGCCTGAGCAATTTGGGGGAAAGATTTCAAGTGAGTTAATCAACCCTGCAAGTGACTGTGTGCCCATGAGAAATGGCTCCCACGTGACAGGAAAATGAGGAGGGACCGGGTCAGAGGAGGCCCCCAGACAGGGCCAGAGGGGATCACAGGCGGGTCCCAGCTCACTGTCCCTTCGTGTGACCTCCATTTATGAGGTTAATTTTTCCTCGTTAGGACACGCTTTCCAGAAGAGCTCATCCGCACGGTCCTGCTCGCATGGGAAGGAGCTTAGAGGCTGTTTCTCCCTGGAGATGACCGTCTGGGTGAAACCTCAAAGCGTCCTTGGTAGTTGAGCCTGAGCAGTCCTTCCTGCCGGTCCCAAGCGGTAGGCTCCCAGCTGGCCCGGGTTCCCACCCACCCCCAAGGCCAGCCCTGTCCCTGTGGTCACTCTGGTTGATTGCAACTCCTTCTTAGGCCGAGGCTAAGCTCAGCTCAGGACATGGCAGAGACGAGGGTGGTCCCGGACGTGGAGTCCCTGGAACCTTATCTCCGTTAGATTCCTCTCACGTCTCCAAAAGAGTCCCTCACCCTGGAGGATTTTTAAACGAACACGTGGCCAAATATGGGGGCCTCCACATTGGAGCTGACAAGCAGGCCAAGTTGGGATCCTCAGCCAATGTCCCCTGAAGTCCAATATCCAACGCAGAGACCTGACTGGATGGGGTGATGCAGGCTCACGCCCTCTGCTCCCCGGAAGTGGGGCAGCAGGTCTCGATTTAGCTGGGCCGGTCGCCGCTGCGTGACCATCCTCTGCACCCTCCCTTCTGTCTTTCAAGCTTGACAATCCGATGCTCCATCCATCCCGCCTCAAGGAGGAGTCTGTGTTCAGGCTTCGCTTCCCCTGCTGACGCGCTCCTTTGGCGTCAGTGTGTGTCCCTGCTCTGAAACGATGGAAACTGGTGATCCCGACCACAGTGTGGATGCCCCCCACCCCCCGCAACAGCCTCCGTCCTACTGTGACGAGTCGGGGGGGAAGCACCCAGGGCGGGGTCGTGCAGCTCAGACCCCAGCCCGGCCGCCCCCCACCATCTTGCTGACTCAACCCCGCCAGCCATGCTCTGCTCACAGACGTCCTCCGGTTCGTCCAGGGTCAAACCTCTGCCTCAGCGTTTTCCTCCAGCTCAGGAGGGAGATGCAGAGGGTGGAGGGCGCTGGCCGCCGGGCCCCACTGACCTCCGGGGGCGTGCCGCTGGCTGGCAGGGGCATGATGGAGGGTGCCCCTTCTCGAGTGGGCGGGTGGGACGGGGTGCCTTGTCCTGAATCTGTCCAGTTATCAAAACAGGGGGAGCTGCCAAGACAAACAGCTGAGGTATGAGGGCTCGCAGCTCACGATCACTGCAGGGTGACAGGCCCCAGGGAGCGAGACGTCAAGGATGCTGCTTGGAATAGCTGGGATGGTGAGCATTCTTTCCCAGAAGAGGACTGGACCCGGCGCGGGGGGCAGGCATGCACGACCCCAGTGCCCGGGAGCGGGGGGCTCACTGCTGCTGCGCCCCCTCTGGGGGTCGGGGACTGAGCAGCACCCACCGCTCAGCACCTCCCACACGGGGGCCACGTCCGCCCACCTCCCTGCCGCCTCCAACACCAGCCTGGCCGTGAATCAGTTATATCAAAAGAGCCCTTGTACTGCATAATCATTTTCATCTGGTTTGGGGGAAAAGCAGCCCTAAAATGTCTGCTGGGCGGTGGCTCGGGCCAGCCGGGCAAGTCTGCAGAGCTGGTGCTCGGCCGGGGGAGCAGCTGACAGGCCAGCCGGGCCTGCTTTACGGCCTTTAAAGCCTGTGCTGACACGGAGGATCGGGGTAGGATTTATGGTCAGCTCAGGCCATCACCCAGCTCTGAGAGCTGGTCATTACAAGCTGCCTGACAGCTGGAATGCAGTCGTCACTTGGAGGAATATTTATTTGGTTTTTAAGTTTTTGGATGAATCCGGTTTTCAGAAAGCGAGGGCCCCCTAGGAAGTCAGACCATGCCATTATTGCATCCAAGCCATTATGCAGTTGCTGGCCAATTATGTAATCCTATATGGAAAACACAGCCAAAGGCAGGGCAGGCTCCGGGACCCAAGGGCTCCTGTTACCAGCCCTGCCCCGCGGCTCCACGGGGTTGCCCGCACCCCGGTGTCACTGAGGCACCCGAGAAGCCAGCGCTTGTACCGTCTGCCCAGCATCTCCACCTGCCCGGGCCGTGGTGACGATGACCTTGACGGAGTGGTGACATCGATTAGTGTGGTTCCCTCTGGCTCCCTGCTGAATCCCAGGTGATAAACAGCAGTGCATGTGGAGCTGGGCGTTCTTCGTAAGCCCTAGTCAGCCTGAAGCTTTCCGTTAAGCTTCTATAAACACATCTTCTTTTCACACTAAAATCATCCCAAACGTCAACATTTCTGCTCTCAAGCAAGTCACAGCTTGGAATTAACGATGTTTGCACGTGACTTCTTTGGATGGTTCTCGCAGCGTCCAGATAAGAACCCTGACGTGCACTGACGGACACACCACGGCTTCTGTAAAATATTGCCCAACACTTCTGGTATCTTCTTCAGCTCGTCCCGCCCCACTTGACCATCTTATTTTTCTTTCCAGAACTCGAGGCAAGCATCTCGCCCTGATAGTGCTTCTTCTCAGGGAGATCCATCCTTTTCCGAGGACCCCAGTGAGAAGGCAGGTTGCCCTCAAGGCTGCGTCCAGCCTCTCGCTGCCACGCGGTCTCGCGGGTTGGCCAAGGGTCCCCGAGCCCGACCCCCACTCCCAGGCGGGCAGTGCCCAGCGTGGAAATCCTCTGAGCTGTTCGCTTCTGTGGGCAGCTTCCGAGTGACCGTCACGCTCCAGTTGCGTAATTCACGGCTTATGTGGCCAGCCCTTGAAAATTCTTGAAAGCCAGGGGCTGTGCAGAGGGTCCTGTGTGAGCACGTGTGTGGCAGAACTGATTGGTTTTCTGTGTCAGGAATGGCAAACGCCCGGTGCTGCCCTGCCCTCACGAAGGCTGGTCGGCCCGTGGACTCTGCTCTGAGGGTTCACATGGCAGCGTCTTCACCTCGGGATGCCTCTGAGGGAGATGGGCACGTGCTCGGTGCAGGTTCAAGTTCAAAAGACAGGCAGAAGCAGACGTGAGGAGGAGCCTAACCAGGAAGCTCAAATCGCGCTGAAAACATCCGCTGTGTCCTGGTTCAAGGTGGTGCGGCGTCTCCCCAGCTGCGAGCTCCTGAAGAGAAGCAGGGGTCCCCTGGAAGCCCCTCAGAAAGGCCCACATTGCTGAAGTGTTGGCTGCTTCTTCAAACACTGTGATGCGTTCATGCAGGTGTGCGGGGACCTAGAATCACACTCAGCTCAGAGGCTCCTTACACTAGGACCGGCTCCAGCGGTCTGACGTGGCCCAGGGCCCGGAGCATCCAGACCAGCCGGCTCAGTTCACTCCAGGGCCTCATATTGCCACAACCAGGTGTTGCCAAGCAGGGTTTAATATCTTTATTTTTTCTGAGCTCACAGAGTCAAATTCATAGATGTGAAGTGTAATTTTGATACTATTCTAGCCTATTTCAAACCAACATTCACTTCTGAGTGGGCATGCAGAAAGGGGTGTGCTACCTGCACTCAGGCATGCTGGGTCTGTGGATTTCATCAAAAATGAATGAACAGGACCATTTATGGCTATTGGTTTAATAACCTATTTTAGTGCCACAAAATCTAGAATTAAAACTAATGAAATTAAATAAATCATTGATTTTGTGAGGCTTTAAATCTATGGGCTGTAAACTATAAACTTTTAAAGGTATGTTTTACTAGAGGTTATGTTACTGCAAGTTGGAGGCAAGGAAGAACTAAATAAATGTGTCATCGATCTGAAATAATAGAACTAATCAAGTGTTAGAGAGAGAAACGTAGACATAGGTACATGATGCATACACCAAAACATATATATACACACAGCAGTAGATAGATACATACACACATAACAGATGGATACTAATTTTTGTTATTGGCTATAAAATAAACTGGAATATAATTTATTTTTAGCAAAAATTATTTTCACCCACCAAGTAAAGAATAATAAATATGATCATTGGAGAAATCCAGCAATGTTTTCTAGCAAATATAAATTTAAACTATTATGATAACTACATAATCACTTATTTTAACACATTGCCATCTTGAAGCAAAATATTAGTGAATAACGTATGATTTTGACTAAATTCCTCGTGGAAACAGGTGGAGTGGGTTGACAAGCCTCATGACCTTTATGGAATTCTCTGCTCACAAAGGGCCATGGGAGAACCAAACACCCACGTGGACATCTCACTGGATCTAACAATCCTCGTTTCCTGCCCGCCAGAGTCGGCAAGCACATCAGTTTCACAGAATCCACAAGGTTGTCCCAGGAGCCAGTCAGGAAGACTACACAGAGAGTAAAGACCAAAAGACTGAAAGTGCACCCTTGAATCTACAGAATCGGAGCTCTGTTCTGGAGGAAGAGGAACAAACGAGCTTCATGTTGCAGGACAACAGCAAGTAAGCGGGCCGCGTTCTCGCCCGCCCAGGGCAGCCCCCAGGGAACCGGCCGCCTCGTCCCAGGGCTGAGCCCACACGGCCTGAGCAGGAGCCGAGTCTGGGCATCCGGACTGTGGACACAAAGGGCTGTGTCTACCGGATCGTTTGTTTGGAGACACGGGAAGGAAACACACTTCCCCAGGAATAGAGCGTTCGGGAGCAAACTTGATGTTATAGAAAGACACGCATGAGCAGCTGTGATCCCATCATGGAGCCTGCGACCCCCAGCAGGACCCCCACCCCGGCCCATCACACGTGCGTGCACACACACACACACACTCACACCCACATTCCCAGGCTCCCTGGCACCTGAACCGCAGGACACGGGCAAGACGCGCTAGGCCACAGCGCCCGTGTGCCCGGCCGCACTCCTGCCCACGTGCACGGCCTGCCTGGGTGTGACTCAGGGAGCCGACACCAGTGTTCAGCAGACGCACGGGACCTGCTTCAGGCTGAAGGCACAGGCGGCGACAGCAAGGCGCCTCCAGAAGCCCCCACGCAGCGCGTCCTCGCCGCTGCCCTGGGGGCCCCCTTGAAGCAGCTGTCAGCCCCCCCGTGTGCTGTGTCAGTCACGTGGACAGAGGCCGCAGGGTCGCGGCCACAGCCTTCTCCCTCTGAGCTAAACCGGGATTCGAATCCGGGTCCCCGGGGGGCAGAGCTGGCCCGGCCTCCCCTGTTATAAGTGCCGCACCCACGGGAGCCATGGGTTCCGGGAACAGGGGAGAGCCGGGAGCAGAGAGCTGGCCCCCACCGGCCCCGCAGCCCAGCCGGCCGGCCTGACGCTCCAGGGGGCCCCTGCACGGACCCTGGTCTCCTGGTTTCTTTGTGTCCCTTCTTCCCTGCACTCGCCCCAAACCAGAGAGAGGGACAAAGAGACTGGAAGTGATGCTGCATTCCTGCCATTTTTCTCATCCATTCAGATCTGGGAAGCACCAGAAAGCTTGTGGGAAAGCCACTCCTCAGGAGGCTTCTAACCCGATTTCTCAACAGCAGTGGTCTGGAGTTTTTGCCTAAATTCTAGATAAGGTCCTAATTCCTGGTTACTTGGCTGCTCAAATTTCAAATCTTAGGTTCGCATCAATCATTCCAAAAGACAAGCAAAACATTTCACAGAACGAAATCTGTTGGTTTTTTTTTTTTTTAATGTATCTTTGGTCTGAATTTATAAGACTTCTATGTCTTTGAGGAAAAACACACATCTCCTGACAAAGGCCTCTCTCTGACTCTCTGTCTCTGTCTCGCTAGTAACCTGAAGCCTGTTCTTGCCACCACCGCAGACTCCAACACTGAACTGCTAAACTGTGTGCTCTAAACAAAACGTATCAGGAAACCACAGAAATGAAGACAATTAGGGTAAATAAGATCCAGTGATCAAATATAGCTAATTTGTATCCATAATATTTGGGAGTTACACAGTCTGCTTCAATTTGAAAGATATCTTCCAGACCACACTGCTTCCTTCCCAAGGGGACTGCCTTTTGCTTTTAATTATTGAACCTTAAGAATTCTTGCTACAATTTGGGGTTAGCTTGTAATTCTTTGAGAAGAAAAAAAATCCAGCCCATAAATCCTGCTGTATCCCATCACTTCCAATAATAGGCTTCTGTGGGCCAATCCACCATCAATTAACTGCATTTTTGAGAGGGAGTGGGGGGGGGGGAGCCCAGCTCACAGCAAGCATGGCCTCAAATAGCAGAGGGTGAATGGACACCCCTTGGCACAGAGCCTGGCTAAATCGGATGTGTAAGAATGTCTCCAAAGCAGAGCATGTAGTGAGAAGGAAGGGAACTGTGGCGAAGGGGACATGGCCCTCCTGCCCTAAGAGATCTTGAGCATCCTTCGGGTAAATAGGCGGGCTTCCCGGGTGGCGCTAGAGGTAAAGAACCCACCTGCCAATGCAGGAGATGTAAGGGACACAGGTTCTGTCCCTGGGTCAGGAAGGTCCCCCGGAGGAGGGCATGACAACCTCGCCAGTATTCTTGCCTGCAGAATCCCACAGACAGGCGGAGGCTGGCGGGGTCTCACAGAGTCAGAGACGAGTGAGTGAGCACAGCGCGGTGATGGCGTCTGAGCACCACCCACCTTCCGAGAGATGCATTCCGGGGCTCCATCTCACTGTCCCTGCCGTCCTTGTTGGGGAGGGGTCTTGCCCTCGGTCCCACCCAGGGGTGCAGCTGTGCTCAGGGGGCTCCATGGTGAGCTGTCACTCCCTCTGCAGCCCCAGCCTCACTCTCCTGGACGGTAAGGAGGGGGTCACAGCCACCCCACCGGACACCAAGTAGTCTTCACACCACGCTCTCTCAGCACACACCCTCCGTGAGCCGGTGACAGGGTATCAACCTCACCTTTCAAAGTCTGGATCTGATTGGTCACCATCTTGGGGACTGGCTGACCCTGCGGGGACTGCCCCGTCCAGGACTGGCCAGTTTCTAGACGCAGTGAAGGATGGGCCTGCATGAGAGGCTTTCATGCACAAACGAACTGTCCAGAGTCCACACCCCCACTGCTTCCTTCACGAGGCTCTGGGCACTGCCCGCCTGCCCTCTTCACTGAGTACCAGCCGACCGGCCACAGCCCGAGTGGATGCCATCACCGACTGCATCCACTGCGGTGTCTCCACCGGGCCAATCCCGAGCCCACGTCTCCTGCCCCACCTGCTCCTTCCCAGGAACAGCAATCAAGGCTCTTGCCACGTCTCCCGCCTCAGCACGCCGCATCCACAGTCCCGGGGCACCTGGCAGATGCAGACAGAGGTCCCCACGGTCCCCACGGACCCCCCGGGTCTCCTCAGGGCTGAGCCTGCGGTGCCCTCATAGAGCAGGGCTGCCCGAGCCAGCACAGGGGTGCGGGACCAGCAGACCCACTCTGCGCCAACCCTTCCTCCCCGCAGTCACAGCGTGCTCAGCACTTTCCATCCCATCTCCCTTGTGCGCCGCTAAGGCACTTCTCACTGTCTACAGAACTGACTCATCTCACAGGTCTGCAGACACTGGCCATTTGCTTAAATTACTGGACGGGAACAACTGTACACTCATTAGAATTCGAGTTTCCAAGCTCTGGGGCAGGCCCATGAGTCCCTCACTGGTATCTGGGCTGACCCCAGGAGAAGGGCTGACTCTTAGTCCGGGTCTCAAGGCAGCAGGTGCTGAGATAGGATGCAGGGTGCGCGGACGTCCCGGGGAAAACACCTGTGAGGACAGGGGAGCCATGTGGCTGGAGCACATCGGACCCAGACGCCCGTCGGACGCTGGATGGAGGGCAGGGGCCTGGGTCGGCGCAGTGTCCAGACAGCTGCACGGTCAAGGCCTTTCCTGTTGGGTTCTGCAAGTGCTCCCGCCAGGGCTGCTCACCGGGGGAGCCCTGGGCTTCCCAGCAAGAGGCTGCCTCCATGCTGCTTCTGCTCAGAGGAGAGGAGAACCCCAGAGATGGGCTCCAGAGCCAGCAGCTGGAGCAGGGCCACCCCAGCCGTGGAGCTGGAGCCTGTGGGTGCCTACCCCGGAGACTCGTCAATCTCGAGGTCTCCCGTAGAGTGCCCCTGAACCCCATAAGATCTAGTATCTCTTTCCCACAGCACTCCATCCTTTCCAACACCCACCCTTGTTTTCTCCTCAACTAAATTCAGCAGCTGCCAGTGGTGGGGCCAAGCACTGTGCTGGCCCGGGTGGATGGATGCAGGGTCTGTCCTGAGTGGGTCTGGCCAGGCACAGAGGCCTCCACGGCCATCCAGGAGGGGAGACAGGCCAGGAGGAGAGAGGTCCAAAGGAGCAGACGGACCAGGCAAGGCCAGGAGTCTTCAGGGTGCAGCAGAATGAACGTCAGGTCTGCTGACGGATGCCAAAGGGAAAGGGAGTCCATGGGGCAAATGGAGAGACGGGAAGGGCCTGGGGAGCATTGCGCGCAGCATGGTAGGCTGGAAGGAGCCCGCGCCTCCGCTAAGGACGTGGCGTGGAGACTCGGAGGGTCTTTGCCTGAATGCAAGCTTCCCAGCGTCCCACACAGAGATGGCTCAGCCCCAGGCTCCGGGGGACCCGTGCAGGGACCTGGCCACCACATGGTCCTCCCTCCTCGTGGGGCCGGAGGGCAAAGTGCCCCTGTCGGTGGGGGACGGACAGGCTGCCTGGCCCCAGGCGGTCTGGGTTCAGGGTGTTGGCAATTCAAAGGGTTGAACACAGCCACCGAGTGTCAGCCGCCTGACCTGGGGCAGGAGCGACCATGAAAGATGCAGTGTTCATGAAAAGGGAGGACTCAGCCGTAGCCCCAAGGGAAGCAAGCCTGGGGCGGTCTCCCCTGCTAGAAAAACCAGGGCCCTTGGCACCAGAGAGCTCATCTGTCAGGCCACAGAGCTGGCCCCCACGAGACCCTTCAGACACCGGCTCGACGCTGCATAGAGAAGCCAGAAGAACCGGAACAATACAAGCGACAAGGGGCCTTAGAGTAGGTGCAGGACGGAGGTGAGGGCTGTTCTGACGGTGGACAGAGACCCTCAGCAAGGGAGATTACGAGGCCATGCTCCGTGGAAGGCCACGAGTCCAACCAAGGCCTGCAGGGGTGGGCGCGGCTTGGTGGTGGACACGGGCGGCCGGGGCGTGATGGCTGAGTCAGGCAGAGCAGAGCGGAGAGCCACGCACGTCCGCCAGGCCCGCGGGCTGTCCGCCTCGCCACACTAGGATCTCACGTAGCAACGTGCCGGAAGCGCTTCCCCTTAGAACTTCCGGGTGGAAGCGAGACACGCCCTCGGAGCAGGCGGCTGTGCGCCCTGGGCTCAGACTCTGCGAGTGCTCGCTGGTGCTCGCTTCGCCTTCTCGAACTTGGTCCTTTGTTCCACTGGAAGCCAACATAATTTTTTGGCTTTTCCGTATTCCACTCGAATGTTGCTACTTAGCATAGAAATCCCACAATGGAATTCTTTCTTCTTTCCAAATGCTCTTTTCCCTTCAGCTCAATTCAAATGTTTTAATTTGGAACGTGTCTTGCTGTTTTGGGGACAGACCTGGTTTGAGATATCTCAGGATAAAGAACTTTTGGAGCAAAATGTAACTTTCTAAATCCTGGCAAGGAACATCTAATAAGAGCACTTTCTGCACGGGGCAGGGAGGAGGGGAGGGGTTGTGGGGGCTTCAGGCCTGAGCCACCCGCCTTCTCCCCCTCCCAACACTCTGCTGCCCCCTTGGCCATGTGAGCTGTGACGTCAGTCCTTCCAAGTGACCATAAATGTTTTTCTCTATATTGTTTGTCCTGAGATAGATGGGGGTTAAAGATAAGCCAGGTTTGGGACCAGGCTGGAACCAAGAGTGACTGATCACCCCTCACTTGTGCAGGGAACACCTCCCCCCAAACTTTCATCCCTCACTCTTGCAAGGAGCACCTCCCCCGCACTCTCACCCCGCACTGGTGCAAGGAGCACCTCCCCCCACGCACTCATCCCTCACTGGTGCAAGGAGCACCTCCCCCGCACTCTCACAGCTCAGGTTGGGTCAAGTCCTGCTCTCCCTCCCCTGTCCACCTCCAAGAAAGGGCCTCCACTGGACAGGAAATGCAGCGGGAGTCAAACGCCCTCTCCGAGAACAGGATGGACGTTGCACGGCCGGGCCGCCTGTGCGCCTCTGCCGCCTGCCCCCGTCCACAGGTGAACACATGGTCCTGCTCCAAGCTCTGCAGGGAGCTCACGGGACTTCCTATAAGTCTGTGGATTCTGTCCTCATCCTCAGAGAAAGGAAGTCAGCTTGTAAGACGCACTGCCTCTCCCCTGCAACATCCGTGTCTGCAGCAGACGTCATTCCTGGACCAAAACCCTGAGCCCAGCATGAATCCCCCCAACTCAGACTCCAGGTGGCCACCTCCAACCAACCGGCACTGGCTTTTGAAATAAAAGCCACAGGCAGCGGGGCTTCCCTGGGGGTCCTGTGGCTGAGAACTCACCTTGCAGGGATCATGGGTTCCACCCTGGTCGGGGAACTAAGACCCCACGTGGCAACTGAGCCTACACAGCACAGTGAAGACCCCGGATGACGCAGTGAAGACCCTGAGTGCCGGAAGCAATGGGCGGCCTGATAAACAAGTGTTTAACAACAGCATTATATTCCATCCTGGGACCAAGCTCTACTCCAAGTCTCTTAAATCCATTAAATGAATGTAACAGCAATAAGGTATTAAGAACAGTGGATGGACCAATGAATTCTAGCAAATCCATCTTTTTGTAGTTAACATTCACTGAATATTGACTTATTTCTTTAAACAACACATACCCTCACTTGAAGTAAAATATCCCTAAATTCAATGAAGAAACCTAATGCTCTTTCTCTCAGACAGTAGAACTTCTTTGGTGTGCTTTGAACCTGTTCACAAATAAGGCCTGTTAATAACATGGCTTGTGCTAATTCACTTCAGTCGTGTCCGGCTCTATGTGACCCCATGGACTGTGGCCCACCAGGCTCCTCAGTCCATGGGATTTCCCAGGCAAGAACACTGGAGTGGGTTGCCATTTCCTCCTCCAGGGGATCTTCCCGACCCAGGGATCAAACCCTCGTCTGTTACATCTCCTGCGTTGGCAAGCAGGTTCTTTACCGCTGAGCCACCGGGGAAGCCAATGACATAGCTCAGAGCACTGATATCCAGTTAGATCTGTCAAGTCATTTTCTTCTTCCCAGTTGTACATTTTGCAAAATTTAGAGCAATCAGATGCAGACAAATAACTGGTGACAAGTCTTTCTTTAGTGAACTCACACATAAGACAGGAGAACACAATCCCAGGTGTCAGAAACCATCCGCTCTAAGTGTGGGAACTTGAACCTGAGCTCTTGGAGCCTGAGGGCGGGAGCACCCTGGTCTCCCGGCTCTCATGCACCTCTCTCTGTAGCCTGTAAGCTCCCCAAGGACACGGATGCTGCTTTATCCATCTCTAAATCCCAGGAGGCTGGGACATCAACCCTCCAGCTGTGGATAGACAGTCGTGGGTGGATCTTCCCATGACTCAGGCCTTCAAGGAGCAGACTTGGAGACGCATGGCGATTTAGAAGGCAGCCTGCATATAGACCCTGGTAGGCAGGGTCCCAAGAATCCTTTCTTTCTCAGAACACTTCTTGGAAGAGGGAGCAGGAATATTGCTTCCAGGCTCGACTATGGTTTCGATCACACTGATCCAATTTGCGGCTGCTCCAGCGGGCACTCACTATCCAAGGGTGAGGAGGGGGCGTCTTTGAAGAATCAGTGGCAGATGCTGGGAACGTCCCAATCTTTGGCCCCCGGGGCAAATCACATGAGCTTGAAATGACAAAACCCCCGAGAAAGTTCATGAGAACATCTGGGCACCTTATCAGGGATTTATCGAGCTTTTCAGAGTTGATCCAAGCCCCATTTTAATGAAAATCGCCTGCCCATGAGCAACGCATGCCAAAGGTTTTCCTTCTCTTCCCCTCCTTTTCCTTCTGCTTCTCTTTCTTCTTCTCTCCCCTCCTTTCTGGCTTTTATTTCTGTAAAGTTAACCCTGAGACAATGAACAAGCCTCACGTTTCCAGGCCTGCTACGTACTCTGTGGTTATCAAACACTTGAACCTGGGTTAACCACTCTGTGTCAAAATTAAACAAGCGCAGTGGACATCCAGCATCACAGCTTGAACTGGGGAATTGTGTGAGGTTGAATTACCCTCTACTTGTGCAACTGGGTCCTTGGCCAAGACAACATAACCTTTCAGTCCTGATCTGTGTGAATAAGAGAGATCTTCAAATGTTTTACTGATTTTTAAACTGGTAATTTTATACCAGGCACATATTTCAATTAACTAATTGTTATTCCTCTGTACTTGTGCCTTGAGATGACTAAACTTAAGAAGTTACAATCATAAAATTAAAATAAATAACTATATCCCACTAGAGCCCTGCCCATCTACCCAAATCAACAAGCTTTGTTCCCAGCCACGGGGAAAATAGCATTCTTTGAACAATCAAAGCATTATAACTGTAAACTCCTTCATTTCTGGGCTCTGCCCTGATTTAGTTGGGGTGTTTTCTTTCCTGACTCCTTCATTTACATGAATAAATTAACTGAGTGGCAGCCAATGAGGCAAGGAAAGAGTGCAGCTGAAGGCCAAGTAAGGGCCATAGTGGGCCCAGGACCCAGAGGGTCTCCAGGATCTGAAGATGGAACGTGAGAGGTGCCAGGGCTGGGCAGAGAGTCAACACCCAGGGGCCTGAGAAATCAGCTGGCTAGGAAGTAAGAACATCCTCTGAGTTGAGAAGATGAGAATTGAGGCTCAGTGGACAAATAGATCTTGCAAAAACCGTGGGGTGACAGAGGAACCCCCACTGAAGAAAGGGGTGAGCTTTGCACTAACCCCCCTTCCAGCCTGTGGTGGATTCAGAGTTCAAGGACAAGGTGGGATCAAGAGACAGACATGGATATACTCTGGTTTTGTTTTCAATTGTATTTGCAAAATCATGAAGTGTGGTTTGAATACTTTGAAAAAATGTTAGCCATCACAGGGTATGGGATTTTTCCATTTTTGATTTCTTAGCACCACTCACACTTGGTTTAAAGAAAGACTTGGGACACCTCTGAACTATGACCACATGACCAGACCAGACTTCCTTCATTTAAAACAGGAGTGCCCAGTGTCCTGAGAGGCGACTGACACAGCCCAGGGCCCCTGGGCGCCCCGACGTCCTCAGCGGGGACAGCCCTGTGTGAATTGCTTCCTTCAGGCAAAGGGAACAGGCTGCCTGCTCCAGCCTCTCCTGGTCTCTCCGTCTTTAGGTCGGATTGGTGGTGTCCTGCTCCCGTCTCTCCCTCCAGGGAGCTGGTGGGGAAGCTTAGGCATTTCTGGGGTTGTTTATTAAGTACTGTTGCTAAAGATCAAGCTGCAGTTTCCAACAGAGCTGATGTGTCTCTCATGCCCTCTGGACCCCCGTGTCCTGGGTCATCTCTGCTTCCCCTCATGGATGAGATCCGGGGACCGCGTCCCAGGACAGCATGGGCGAGGCGAGGATTAAAGCTCTGCCTGTGGGTCTGGCAGGTGGGCCTTCGTGCCCAAGGGCAGGGTCCCCGGCTGCAGGGTCTCTGGCTGGAGGGAGCATTGGAGGCTCCCGGGGAGCTGCTGGGGTCCCATCCCTGGTTGGGCCCCCAGTTCTTCTCACGTGTCTTCTGCTCACATCTCAGCCTCCAGCCCCAGTCTTCATTTCCCCCTTCTTTGTAGCAGCCCACTTCACAAATAAGGTTTAAGTATATCCTTATAAATATTTCAAATGCTACAGTGTGAATGTCCTCCTGAGTTTCCCCCACTCCCCACTCCCCCAAGCCCAACCCTCTTCCCTGAGAACCAGCCCACACCCTTCCTGGGACCAGCATTAGGGTCTCAGACGCAGTGGGGACCACCCCCACTCCACCCTGGAACCTGCTCCCTGCCACCCTCCTCTGAGCCAGACTTGGTTTCCTGAGAACCCAGTGAAGCTACACCTCAGGGTTCATACAGGCTCTGTACTTAACACAAATGAAGAATCAGCCACCAGTTTAGCAGAGAAATAGGTTACCCACCTCGATGTAGTTAAAACAGGTTATGAAAACCTCCACAGGACGAACAACCCAGTTTGTCCAACAAATCCCTTTGTAGGGAAAAAAGAGAGACGGGGTGAGGATCTATAGATTAAAAGAAACACATTGAGCAAAAGCAATGTGTGAACCTTCTTTGGAGCCATGATTCAAACAAACCAATCTTACAGTAATTAAAAAGACGTTGATGAAACCATTAGAACTGTGAGTGAAGTAGTTGTCAGACAGTAAGAAACCGCTGATAACAACTTTGATGTATGATCATGGGTTTATACCTTTATACTCACAAATCCAGGCTTCCCTGGTGGCTCAGTGGTAAAGAATCTGCCTGCAATGCAGGAGATGCAGGTTCAATCTCTGGGTTGGGAAGATCCCCTGGAGGAGGAAATGACAACCCATTCCAGTATTCTTGCCTGGGAAATCCCATGGACAGAGAAGCCTGGTGGGCTACAGATCATGTGGTTGCAAAGAGTTGGACATGACTTAGTGATTAAACGACACTGCACAAGTTTATATCTTTTAGAGATATAATCTGAAACCTTTATGAATGAAATTATAGGAGGATTGAGATTTGCTTTAAAGTGATACTGGGCAAGAGTGAGTGGGTAGGTGAAACTGAAACGAGACTGACCGGGCGTCGGTAATTGCTGGAGCCGGGTGATGAGTACCTGGAGGTTTCCTTTTGCACATGCTTAAAATATTTCATAATGAAAGTCTAGAAAAGCACACTCTCTGGCTAAGCTTCCCTGGCACCGTCCAGCGGAAGGGGTCTCTTTCTGCTCCCCTCTGGACCTCCGAGCTGGGTGCAGCTGGGGAAGCGGCTGGCAGCAGGTGTGGGCACACACCAGGCTGAGAAGGGGCCTGGGAGTGAGGGTGGCCCCGACCCTGTTAATGAAACTTGACTCTTCTCTGCAGAAGGCCAAGTCCAGCCTGGGACTCAGATGGAAAAATGATGGCCTGCTATACAGTGACCCCAGCTTGGAGGTGCCTGTCATTTTACTGCGGGATGAGGTTCCCACACCCTGGCTTAATTGGAAACACTCGCGTGCATCTCCCCCCTCCCATCCCGAGGACGGGGAGATGAA